GCACTCACCAGATGCACAAAGTATTTGCACATTTGAGAAAACAATATCTCACTGGGTCAGCTGGAACACCTTGAAGAGGGTTTCTCCCATCTGATATGGATTCCTCCTTGGCTACCTCCTGGTGCTCCCACTTTAAGATACCACCAGAAGTGACAGCTTCTTCATTTCCACCCTGACAGGTTCTCTGTAGTGGGGTTAGCCCAGGGCTACAATGGGGATGAAATCTCATTGCTACAGAGTGATTACGCCACTTATTAACAGCCCTCTGTTTACCTAGAGGTAAACAGAGGACTGTTAATAAGTGGCGTAATCACTCTATAGCAATGAGATTTCATCCCATTGTAGCCCTGGGCTAACCTAGAGGTAAACAGAAGACTGTTAATAAGTGGCGTAATCACTCCTGTAGCAATGAGATTTCATCCCCATTGTAGCCCTGGGCTAACCCCACTACAGAGAACCTGTCAGGGTGGAAATGAAGAAGCTGTCACTTCTGGTGGTATCTTAAAGTGGGAGCACCAGGAGGTAGCCAAGGAGGAATCCATATCAGATGGGAGAAACCCTCTTCAAGGTGTTCCAGCTGACCCAGTGAATATTGTTTTCTCAAATGAGCAAATACTTTGTGCATCTGGTGAGTGCGCAATTTACTTATTTTTCACCAGAAGTGGTTGGGAAGAAATCCTCAATACCATATTTCATATCTTGACCATCACATGGACATTTGATTGTGCACCATATACTAAGTTATATGCTTTTTTATCGCATGATATATATATTGTTGATTTTACAAGCGCTGCACCTATATTTTTTTGATTTTGCTTTGGGAAGGTTGTATTGGTACCTTTTTGGTGTCCCAGCTGCTTTGACATATAGCGCTCACTTTTTTTTTTTTTTCCATTTAATTTTGAGGACAAGCTTTCAGGGAGTGTCCCCTTCTTCAGGTCCAAGCAGTACTCAAGTACTGCTTGGACCTGAAGAAGGGGACACTCCCCGAAAGCTTGTCCTCAAAATTGTTTGTTAGTGCAAATAAAAAAAATTATCACTAACAGTACTTATTTTCCCAAAAAATTGTGACAAAAAATGACAACTTAACTTCTTGCCGACCGCGCATAGCCGAATGACGGCTTCACCGCGGCCGGCCAGTTCTGAGTGGACGTCATATGACGTCCTCCCAGAACGCGCTCTCCTGCGCGCCCCAGGGGGCGCGCACCCGGCGATCTCCGTGATCGCTGTGTCCTACGGACACAGCTGATCACGTGATGTGGTGAAAGGCCGATCCCACCGGCCTTTTACCACGTGATCAGCGGTGTCCAATGACACGCTGACCACAGGGAAATGCAAGTGCCGGTTCTCGGCTGCACTTTTCCTCACGCTGTCAGATCGTGAGGAAAGTACTGCCGAGAACCGGCAGTTGTCAGAGCGGGGATCGGCACCGATCATCAGGGCACTGATGTTCAGTGCCCTGATGATCGGTGCCCAGCAGTGACACCCGCAAGTTCCGCCCAGCAGTGCGCCCACTAGCCCCGCCCACCCGTTCCCAGCAGTGCCCCCACCTGTGCCCAGCAGTGCCCCACCTGTGCCCAGCAGTGCCCCCACCTGTGCCCAGCAGTGCCCCCACCTGTGCCACTCTGCAGTGCCACCTACCTGTGCCCAGAAGTGCCACCTACCTGTGCCCAGAAGTGCCACCTACCTGTGCCCAGCAGTGCCACCCACCAGTGCCCACCCACCAGTGCTGCCCACCAGTGCTGCCCACCAGTGCCGCCCACCAGTGCTGCCAGTCAGTGCCACCAGTCAGTGCCCAAGGGTTGTGCCAGTCAGTGCCCAGAAGTGATGCCAGTCAGTCAGTGCCGTCTATCAGTACCCATCATCAGTGTCACCTATCAGTGCCGCCTATCAGTGCCGCCTATCCGTGACCCCTAATTAGTGCTGTCTTCAGTGCCGCCTATCCGTGCCACCTCATTAGTACTGCCTATCAGTGCCCATCAGTGCCGCCTATCAGTGCCCATCAGTGCCGCCTCATCAACGCAAATCAGTGAAGGAGAAAAAATACCTGTTTGAAAAATTTTATAAAAGAAACAAATAAACTTTTTTTTTTTTTTTTTTTTTTTTGCACTTTTTTTAATTTATAGCGCAAAAAGTAAAGCGCCCAGTGGCGATTAAATACCACCAAAAAAGCTCTATTTGTGAGAAAAAAATGATCAAAATTTCATATGGGTACAATGTTGCATGACCGCGCAATTGTCAATCAAAGTGCGGCAGCGCTGAAAGCTGAAAATTGGCCTGGTAAGGAAGGGGGTATAAGTGCCTGGTAGGCAAGTGGTTAAAAAATACTAGCCATGCCATGGACTGCCTATTTACCAAAAATGGGTCATTTGGGGGATATTTATACTATCCTGTGGTTTTCAGGCCTCAAGAAATGAGATGGGCCATCCGTACATCAGAACTGATCAGTTTCATATATATTATATATTATATATATTTATTTTTTTTTTTTTTTTTTTTTTTCTCTCTCTCTCTCTCTCTCATTTTGACCTAAATTTTATAAAGAAAGGCTATTCATTTGAAACATTTTATAACAGAAATGAAGAAAAAAATTTTTTTTTTTTTTAAATTTATCTAAAAATTAAAACCTCAGTGATGATTAAATATCACCCACCAAAAGAAAGCTCTATTTGTGTGCAAAAAATGATAAAAATTTCATATGGGTACAGTGTTGCATGACTGCGCAATTGTTATGCAAAGTGTGACAGCGCTGAAAGCTGAAAATTGGCCTGGACAGGAAGGGGGTAATGAAGTGGTTAATAATTCTGCAGCCAAAATTAGTGTGTGCTGTAAATTGCCTGCTGCATTGCTCCTGTTCCTTCTTGCTGGAGGCTGCCATTTTGTTGAAGCCCAGAGCCCTGAGCAGCAGTTATAGCAGAACTAAACAGTCCTCTCCTTTTCAGCCAAGGAAGCTGGCACCTGTTTGATCTGCAACTGCCATGATGCTGCACATGTGATCAGTTATAACACCAGTCATTTGCTGGTTTCACAGTTTGATTGAGAACACAAGCAAATATGATCGTTAACATTCCTGACATACCAGGAATGTAATTGTTTTTTAAACTGTTTAATTGATGGGTTTAGTTCCATTTTAATCTTTAGCCTGTCAGCAGATCTACAATCTCGATAGTGCCTAAAAATGGTTAAAAATGGAGAGCAACTGAGCATGTGCAGAGCAGAGTGAGATAGTGTATTACTGAATTTGAAACAGTATAGGCATTTATTAATGTTTTACATAGCTATACCTGCAAAAGGGGCCTGCCTGAAGTGATCTAGCAGGGCTTAATTTTCTGACTAAAGTTCCACTTTAAGTTCTGTTGGCTGAAATGTGGTGTAAGGTGGTGGATTACCTCACAATGTGGGAAAAAAAGTATGGCTTGACAAACTTTTTTTAGCCACACCGCTGCAACAAGGTGGTCTGGATCAGCCAGGTAGGAATAACACAATCCTACTGTACCTGGTGTGAATGTGCATCTGGTGTGAGAAGTGACGGGGACAATGCATTTCTGGCAAGATCAACAGGTATTTTCTGTACTTGCTGAAAATGTTCTTCTACTGAAAAATTAAAACTAATGCAAAAAAGGACTGATAAGCTGCATTTTTTCCCCTGGGGTTCAATGTGCCTATTGCCCATAGACCAAGAGTGGGAGGGCATTCTGTGGCTTCCACCAATGTTTTGCCTTATTTGCATGAATCTGATGGTCACAAATGCTGAAATTTGCTCCAGTTCAAAATAACTGACCCTACATGTTTTAAGTGTAAGGCCTCTTGTATGCCTGAGCCTGTGCAATGTAAATTTCACTGTATTTCCCCTACCTGGAGAGCCCAGGTGTTGCCAACAGCCACCCATGGACATAAATGGGCAACACAGTGGCTAAATGGTTAGCACTTCCGCCTGGCAGTACTAGGGTCATTGATTCGAATCCAAACCATGGCACCACCTGCCTGGAGTTTGCATGTTCTCCCTGTGCCTGTGTGGGTTTCCTCTGGGTACTCCGGTTTCCTCCAACACTCCAAAGACACTCTGGTAGGTTAATTGGCTCCTGTCTAACTTAGCCCTAGTACGTGTATGTATGAATGTAAGTTAGGCACCTTAGATTGTATGCCCCTTGAGGGTTAGGGACTGATGTGAATGTACAATATATATGTAAAGCACTGCATAAATTGACGACACTATATAAGTACCTGAAATGAATAAAAATAAATAAATAGCTGTGTGCACTTGTATTCTGGTATATGTCACTGCTTGTGTAGGTTTTTGCATACTTCCATGTGCTATACAAGTTTTTACATGAGCACACATTCATGTTTATGGGTGGCACCTGGGCATCCTGGATGGGGGAAATCACCAATATTTACTATGCATGGGCTTGGGTGCCCATGTGAAAGAGCCCTAAAAGAGATAATAGAATCTGCACTTATTGTGGCAGTGCCAAAAACTAATCAGATTTTGGAAAAAAACTCTTAGAATATTCCAGATAAACTTACCAAGGGACCAAACTAAAATCAATTGTGCTAGAATATCTGAAAAACCTATCACTAGATATCACTAATGAGAGCCTTATTTTAGGCACTCAGATTTATTCTCTTACACTGGAATTCCCCTGACTCGCAAAACAGGAATGGATAAATCATTTTAATAATACTCTCGGATTGCAAAAATCTATATATGCTCATTGTGGTTACCATGAATAATGTTAAAAAAAAAAAAAAAAAGTAGTTTGCTTGCATTGTTGTATCCAATATGTAGTTATGATTCTTCGAAACTGTCCCAGACTAACTTTGTACGATTTACAGCATGTATGTACAATGCAAATCTTGTTAAAGGTTGCTTCAAAAATATTCTACTTTAAAAACCGTTGTTCCATTTCACAAAATGTTTTGATTGTTTATAGGATGACGTGCAATTCATATTTTTAATCCTTCCATTTGTTTAATATAGAATCAGAAACATTGGAATCATGGCTCATATTGATGCCGGAAAAACCACAACCACTGAGAGAATGTTGTATTATTCTGGATACATTCGGGCACTGGGAGGTGAGACAAATGTTTTCAGATGGTATGAATTGTTGATGAATGCTACCTAAAGTTCTAGCTTATTTTACAGCAACATTCATTTTGTACATGTGCAATAGTGGCGCTGTGCAATCTCAACCTTACAATGTGAACTGAACTATTACTAAATGTGTTTAATACAACCTCAGTGCTACTACATAAATGAATAAATATATGCATACAAAACCATACAAAATAATCACATCAAATAACATACATAAATAAGTCTATAAACGGATATGTGCACCCACTGCTGTACGAGTGCCAATAGTAAACCAGTAGTGATAAATAGTGTCCACTCCAAATTAGGATAATCAACTTGCTCAAAGAAATGGTGCAACAGTCCTTTTTTTTTTTTTCCAAAAAAACTCCACCATTGTGATGCAAAATGAACACAGGTCGAGATTGCGCTGCACCACTATTGCACATCCTGTGTCTTCCATTTTCTAATTTTTGCTCCCACAGTTGATTTGTTCACACCAAGCTGCTTGCCTATAGCAGATTCAGTATTCCCAGCCTGGTGCAGGTCTACAATTTTGTTTCTGGTGTCCTTCGACAGCTCTTAGATCTTCACCATAGTGGAGTTTGGAGTGTGACTGTTTGAGGTTGTGGACAGGTGTCTTTTATACTGATAACAAGTTCAAACAGGTGCCATTGATACAGGTACTGAGTGCAGGACAGAGGAGCCTCTTAAAGAAGAAGGTACAGGTCTGTGAGAGCCAGAAATCTTGCTTGTTTGTAGGTGACCAAATACTTATTTTCCACCATAATTTGCAAATAAATTCTTTCCAACTCAGGCAATGTGATTGTCTGGATTTGTTTTCTCATTTTGTCTCTCATAGTTGAGGTCTACCTATGATGCCAATTACAGGCCTCTCTCATCTTTTTAAGTGGGAGAACTTGCACAATTGGTGGCTAACTAAATACTTTTTTGCCCCACTGTATCTACCGTATTTTTCGCCGTATAAGACGCACTTTTTCTTCCCCAAAACTGGGGGGGGAAATGTCAGTGCGTCTTATGGGGCGAATATGGAGCGGCCGGTCCGGTATTTCCACCGCGGCCGTGTCAGAATACCGGGCCGGCCGCTCAGCTCTGCAGCGGGACCTTACCTGTTCCTCTATCCAGCGGCGTGCTGTCTTCCCGGCTTCTGTAGTGTGGGAACTGGGCATGACAGCCGGGTGCCAAGTGCGCATGCGCAAGAAGCGGTGCTTTTTGTGAATGGTAAGGTGGTACCTGGGACACATGACAGATCCCAGAAGCGGCCGGACCAATCACAAAGCGCAAGTGCTTCTCGCACATGCGCACTGGGCACCCGGTTGTCATGCCGAGCGCCATTACAGAAGCCGGGAAGACAGCGCGCGGCTGGATCGAGGAACAGGTAAGATCAAACAAAAACTCTGCGAAAGTAAGAGCGGGTACCTGTCAAATTCAGGTACCCGCTCCCCACCTCCCCAAAGGTCAGCAGTCATCTGTGCTGTCCGCAGTCTCTGGTCATCCCTGTGCTGTCCGCAGTCTCTGGTCATCCCTGTGCTGTCCGCAGTCTCTGGTCATCCCTGTGCTGTCCGCAGTCTCTGGTCATCCCTGTGCTGTCCGCAGTCTCTGGTCATCCCTGTGCTGTCCGCAGTCTCTGGTCATCCCTGTGCTGTCCGCAGTCTCTGGTCATCCCTGTGCTGTCCGCAGTCTCTGGTCATCCCTGTGCTGTCCGCAGTCTCTGGTCATCCCTGTGCTGTCCGCAGTCTCTGTCCGCAGTCATGGTCATCCCTGTGCTGTCCGCAGTCTCTGGTCATCCCTGTGCTGTCCGCAGTCTCTGGTCATCCCCTGTACTGTGTCTGCAGTCCATTAGTTCAGAATTTTTTTTTTTTCCTGTTTTCTGCCTCTAAAACCTAGGTGCATCTTATGGTCAGGTGCGTCTTATACAGCGAAAAATACGGTACTACTGTGGAGTATCTCACACACAAAGGGGACAGCAGCATCTGAAAGGTTTTGAGTTCACATATACATTACATATGGTTTTCAACACTTGTTTTTGTGGCAGTGTATGGGTATTTCATGTTTTATTAATTTTTTTACAAATGATTTGTTGAGAAGTTTTGTTTGAATCCTGGAAAATAGCTAGTAGGTTTACTAATTGGGCTGTGTTGTTGTAGATGTTGATGATGGGGATACGGTGACAGACTATATGGCACAGGAAAGAGAGCGTGGGATCACAATTCAATCAGCAGCTGTCACATTTGACTGGAACGAACACAGAATCAATTTGATTGACACTCCAGGTAATCTCTGGTACTCTCAAGGCTCTATTCATGTAACGTGCATTGCATTTAGCACTTTGATGCATGAGTTGATGTGCACTGACATCTGTTTTTTTTTTTTCACCATGTTGTGTTGCATTGATGTATGCCTGTTTCCCCACAGCCAAAGCCAAAATACTTTATTTTGTTGATCTTTATACACATTGTAGTGCATTCCAGGGTATTGCACTGCATTTAATGTGAGCATGTTCCACTTTCATCCAGTACACATCAATGCAACACGTTGGTGTGAACTGGGTTTATTGAAAACAATAGATTTCAGCTTGTTGTTGCATTGGGCTTGCATTGAGCAAAGCAGCTCAATGGATGTGATGTGAAAATGATATAAATGTGATGATAAAATGATATGTACGGTGAGAACAGGTAGCAGCAGCTCTAGAACACAAACAAAAAACAGAGTATCAATAAGGCAAGCAAGATTGTGCTGTTTGTTGCTGCTCTGTTAAAAAAAAAAAAAAAAAAAAAAAAAAGTATGCAAGCCCACTCTAATATAGTGCTATCAATATCCCAGCACTTTAGTAGCATAGTTTAACCACTTCCAGTCTGGACACTTTTACCCCCTTCCTGTCCAGGCCAATTTTCAGCTTTCAGCACTATCACACTTTGAATGACAATTGCGCAGTCACGCAACACTGTACCCATGTGAATTTTGTAGCATTTTTTTGAGACAGATAAAACTTTATTTTGTTGGCATTTATTCACCACTGGGATTATATATAAATATATATATATATATATATATATGGCCAAAAATTTTGAAAAAAATGTTTTTCTTCATAAATCTTGGCCAAAATGTATTAAATTATCTTAAAAAATAGCCCACATTAGTTTATAACCAAACATTATAATTTTTCTAAAAATGTTTTTACATTTGTATTTTTCTTTTTATATTATTTTTTTTTTTATATATATATACGGTCACCCTAGCAGTACAGTGTCACCATAGTGACACTGTACTAATTGTGGGGAGTGATGAAGATTTTTTTTTTTTTTTTTTTTTACTTTACACTGATTGCTTTTACATCCATAAAGGCTGTAAAATCAATCATTTACTGTGTGAGCTGTGATTGGTCACAGCTTTTCACATGGTACAAGGCTGTTGTGAATAGCCTTGTACCATGTGACCTCAATGATCATTCACAGATTTCACACGTAGTAAGCAATAATGGCAGAAATTACATCTTGCTTACTACTCTTCATGTGATCACTGATTGGGACCTCACACAGAGGTCCCGTACAACAATCGAACACAGCGGGCACCCGATCACGGTTGTGCGCGCTCCCAGGGAACGCGCACAAGCAGGAAGAGGGGAGGACGTTTATTAACGGCCACCCGCTCCTGCACTGCTCCTGTCCAGCCATTTATATACATGGGCCAGACGGGAAGTGGTAAACCATAGATTAAATACACTCACTGGACACTTTATTAAATACACCTTGCTAGTGCCAAGAAAATATCCGCCACACCATTACACCACCTCTACCAGCCTGAACTGTTGATACAAGGCAGGATGGATCCATGCTTTCACGTTGTTTACACCAAATTCTGAATCTTGCAGCAACCAGTCACCCACACAACTGCCGCTCACTGGATATTTTCTCCTTTTCTAACCATTTTCTATAAACCCTACAGATGGTCCCAGCAGATCAGCAGTTTTTTTTTAAATATGCAGACCAGCCCAATCTGGCACCAACAACCATGCCACATTCAAAGTCACTTAAATCCCCTTTCTTCCCCATTCTGACGTTCGGTTTGAACTTCAGCAAGTCGTCTTCACCACGTCTAGATGCCTAAATGCATTGAGTTGCTGCTACATGATTGGCTGATTAACAATATGTGTTACCAAGCAGTTGAATAGGTCTACCTAATAGAGTGGCCGGTGAGTGTACATAATACATGGATAAACTAGATGGGGAAACAGAAGAAGCCTGTCACAAGAGAAATATACCAATTGCCATTGCTGAATGCCTTTTCAAAAATGCAATTTGCTATGTTGTCTGGCTTTAGTATTTCTTGAGTATCCAATCAGGAACAAGCATGAAACTGGAAAAATCGCAGTGAAGTCAAAACTCCTAATATGCATATTTATTCAGAGTTGGTGACTATGACTGTACTGAAACCACTGGATCAGCATGACAGCCTAGCACTTTGCAATCTTAGAAGGAAGGTTCAGTTGTAGCAGTCTTCATGCTTCTCTCAGTATAGATTTTCTCTAAACACTTTTGTCTCCCTTGTCTAAATATGTGCTTTGCCTTTTATGCAGGACATGTGGATTTCACTGTAGAGGTTGAACGATCGCTGAGGGTGCTGGATGGAGCAGTTGCTGTGTTTGATGCTTCAGCTGGTGTAGAGGTAATAGAAGTGATGGAACTTTGTTTCCCTTTAAAAAAAACAGGTGCCCTTCATGTCTGTTTTGAGCAAGAGCCAGCAGTTAGCAATCTTGAAATTTCAATTTTCCATGTCCACAATCTTCTTGTAGGTAAAGAAATGAATCCTTCATCTAGATTAAGAAAATAATCCTTCTACGTAATAGGGGAAGTAGAGTGTCAATATAGGGCAAATAGATACAGTTGGAGAGCTACAGACTCAGGTCTGGTCACTGATTAATTCAGAATTTTCAGTGTTGTTCTGTGGTTACACCCCTTTTAGCATCTGTTTGTGTGTGTGTGTGTATATATATATATATATGTGTGTGTGTGTTGGCTATGGATTTGAGCACAGGTATACAGTTGTTCTCAAAAGTTTGCATACCCTGGCAAAATTCGTGAAATGTTGTCATTGATATTGAAAATATGACTGATCATACCAAAAACTGTCTTTTATATAAGAATAGTGATTATATGAAGCCATTTTTTATCACATAGTTGTTTGGCTCCTTTTTAAATCATAATGATAACAGAAATCACCCAAATGGCCCTGATAAAAATTTTACATACCCTGGAATGTTTGGACCATGGTGCAGACACAAAGTGACACACAGAGGTAAAATGGCAATTGAAGGTTAATTTTTCCCACAGCTGTGTGTTTTTTTTTTTGTTTTTTTTTAATTGCAGTTAGTGTCCGTGTATAAATAGTCAGTGATTTTGTTGACTCATGAGGATGCACTGAGCAGGCTAGATACTGAGCCATGGGGAGCAGAAAAGAACTGTTCAAAGAAGCAGCAAGGTAATAGTACTTTATAAAGATGGAAAAGGATATAAAAAGATGTCTAAAGGCTTCTTTCTGGCAACTCAAACATACAGCTCATTTTTGTTCAAGTATCATATTGTGCTCCTTAAAAACAACCACACTGTATTTTTCCAGCTCAGTCTGTATTCCTCCTGAAGTTACCTTTAGGTTTTTCTTTGTATCCTGAACAAATCTTCTGGCAGTTGGGTGAGAATGGGTCACAGGAGTGCAGAATAAACTGCACAGGAGAAGTGCAGCCAAAAAAGCTTGTGTGATAATAAATGGCTTCATATGATCACTATCCTTATATAAAAGACAGTTTTTTGGCCTGAGCAGTCATATTTTTAATATCAATGCCAACATTTAACGGTTTTTGTCAGGTATGCAACATTTTGAGCACAACTGTATCTTATTTCTATTGCATAGTGAAGGTCAGTGACCAGACCTGAGTCTGTAGCTCTCCAACTGTCACCATTTGCTCCATAATAGCACTATATCCACTGAAGTTTGCTTTAAGTAAGTATTTTGCGAAGTAGAGTAGGGACTGGCCGGAGGGGGATTACTTTGATCTGGTTGGCCAGCTTGAATATGTGTTGCAATGTAGGTGAACCAAAAATCCATGTTTTTAGGCAGTTTGCTAGACGGATGTATAGCAGTGTGCAGGAGGGTTCATTCAGAATTTTCAGTGTTAGCATGTGGTCACACCCCTCCGCACCAGATGGGTTACTTATAATATTATTATTATTATACAGGATTTATATAGCACCTGCAGTTTGTGCAGCGCTTTACAAAATGACGGCAAACATTCATTACAATACAAAGTGGTACAAGAAGAATTAGAGGGCCCTGCTCATTAGAGCTTACAATCTAATGTGTTTGCTATTTGAATTTGAGCACACTCCTATCTTATTTCTATATCTCGCCATGGTGGCAGATGGGACTTGTACTCTGCCAATCACAAATCATGTTCATAGAATGAAAAGTGAATAAGGTGAAGAATAATATAAAAAATACAGGATACTGTGGGGAGAAGAGCCCTGCAATTCAGGCAAAGAAAAAGGGGGTGGTGGATTTGCGGAATGTAACCATGTTTTATGCCTCAGTCTTCACGGGACTGAGATTGAGCTCTGCAGTCACTTTTGCAGTTGTTTTTTCCGGGTCACAATCCTACGCAATATCCTCTTTGTCTCTTTCGGTCAGTTGACCATATTGACCGCGTTTATGGTTATGAGATGACATTTTCCCGGAAACTGTATATGCCGTCATAACCCTTGATACTGTACCTTGCAACACAGAAAATAAATAGACAACTACAATCATAGAAGCACCAGCTAAGAGGGCACTGACAATTTTGCCCTTTTTGAAGCTCAATAAGCTCTGACATGACACAGTGAATGACAAAAGTGAGGCTTCCCACCTGTTGGGTGTCTCATCACACAGCAGAAGGAAAACTTGCATCACTTCTGCTTTCAACGCGAAACATGTCGTCACTTTCACACCTGCAAAGCATGTATGTAGTGTTTCAATTTTTTGTCTAACCCCTAGCATAGCAGGAACACCAGGGATTTCACAAAAAGGAAGCAATAGAAAGAGATCAGGATACTTTTCATACAAATACATGGTACAGCAAGCACATATCAGGAATATGAAATGTTTGGTTTACATACCCTTTAAAACATACAGGTTTGCTAGGATATCCTTTACCCTTTTTCTCTGCTGTCTTTTGAGGCTCAGGAATGGCCCTGTTTTCCTGATGAAACATGACTATTAAAATGATACTGTATGAAGCTAGTCAATGATTCAGTAGTAGGAATTGGCATCAAAGCTGCAACCGGTACAGCTTCTATAGACACTTTGATAACAAACTTTTTTTTCTTTTTGTTTCAGGCTCAAACCCTGACTGTGTGGCGACAAGCAGACAAACATTTTGTACCAAGAATATGTTTTTTGAACAAGATGGACAAATCCAATGCCAGGTACTTTAGTAAATTCATACAAGTGTGCATGCTGGCAACTGGATTGTATATTTATCTTTTAGGTGTTCAGGTTATGTAGGACACCATCTTCATTGTAAAAGCAAGTTAAGGCTACCTTGTTTAACAATTTCACCCAAATTCTGCATGTTGCATTTTTACTTGTTTAGAACATGTAGCTGGCACTGCTTTTACCTACTTTACTTTTCCCACACTACTCTGCCCACTTATGGCCACACTACTGTGTTCAGCTTTGAAAGTGAAAGTAAATATTGTTGGCCACTGGGCTGGCAATTACAATAAACCTGCTGTTTTTTCCTGCATGGACACTCTCAGGTCCCTGCCACAATTAATTCCAAAGTAATTGGTGCTGATCACAACCTAGACCTTCCTAGGCTTTCATATTTCAAAGTTAATTTTCTTGTAAAGTGTTGTAACTTGTAATTGTATCAAGTTTCTCTCATATACATTTCTGATAATAAAAGATAAAAGTCACACCTATAGAATGTAGAATTTGCACTCATTTAAATATTTCCTCCTGTGTAGTGTTTAAATTTTTGACATTGTGAGTTATTGTTTATTCCTAAAATTCCAACTTTATTAAGATATTTTGTTGTAACAGACTAGCAGTGTGTGGATTCACACATGTGCAGTGCGGATTGAAGCTCAGGTTTCACAGCCAATTCACACAGTAGTTGTTCAGCGGTTCAGGTCAGGTTTACATTACGTTAAGGACAAGTGTAGATTAGGTTCAGGTCAGGATTTTATCCTGTTTACAACTGATGACCTGTGCAGTTTAGAAATGGTTCCCAAAGAAGTAAATTAGTATTATTATTATTAATAATATACAGGATTTATATAGCATCAACAGTTTACTCAGTGCTTTACAACATAAGAGCAGACAGTACAATTACAATACAAATTAATACAGGAGGGATCAGGGATCAGAGGGCCCTGCTTGTTAGAGCTTACAATCTAGGAGGGAGGGTCAATTGATATAAAAAGTAATAACTGTGGAGGATGGACTGATGGAGAAAATACATGTACAGTTGCTAGGTGGGGGCAGGATAGGCCTCTCTGAAGAGATGAATTTGTAGAGGTGCGGATTAGAGGCTATTGATTTCTATGTGTGAATCAGCTATGTATGCCTCATGACTTCTGTTTGTCTTTTTGAAAGAGTTTATATCAAAGAATGAAATGCTCAAGGCTATATGTTAATAGAACACTAGGTTGTGAGCCATTTTAATAAGTTTTCTTACAGTTTTTTTTTATTTTTTAATTAAAATTTCACCAAAAGTGTTAGCACAGAATTGTTTGAAAATAGCTTAGTGTAAAGTGGCGCAACTTATTAGCTTATATGAAAGGACTTTAATTTTTTGCTTTTAATTAGAAGGATGTGGCTTTCTCCTTGGTTCTTTCTTCTGGCCATAATGAAAGTTACTCAGTTATATTGAAAAAAAAATCTCTTTATTTAGTTTTTCATACTCCGTTGAAAGCATCAAAGAAAAGCTGAAAGCAAACCCTATGCTGTTACAGGTGAGTTGGTGACACATCATTTCTCTGTTGGAGCATGTACAGTATGGAGTATGTTATGAAATTCCTTTGCCAAATTATTCTTACATAGCTCCTTTATATATGCTTACATTCATCTTTGCTTTTACATTTATCCTTTTTGTACCCCTTACAATTCTGCCCTTCTGACCTTTACACCTGGCTCACACTGATATGAATTTTATGCAGATTTGACCTGATACAAAAGGCATAGATTGGCATGTCATCTGAAAAAACCTTGTTTTCAATGAAGGCCATTCACATCTGTGTGCCGTGCAATTCTGATCTGGTTAAAAAAAAAAAAAAAAAAAAAAAAGGGTCTTGTGCAAGTTTAGTCCGGTGCTGTGCAAATTTCAGTGAAAGTCAATGGGAGGCAATTTTGCACTGCAGTGAATGGGAGGGTTATCAGAATCTCATCTGAACTGAACCTGAAGTGCTGGACAATTCGCATCAGAATTGCACCTGACACGCAGAAATCGCACTGTGAATTTGCACCAAACTCACAGTCAAAAACACATGGAATTCGCACCGCATCAGTGTGGACCTGGCCTTACAGGTCATCTGTTTAAGAGTTAACATTCATGACGCGTGCTTGTATTTACTTGTGTACGTGGCTCAATGGGGTTCCATTCTTTATATTTTATCTACAGCCACCCAGATCACTTTTATACTTGAATTATTTTCTATCTGAATAGCTGGGAGGATGGCTGAAAACATATGATACCAAACTCACTGCCATAGCCATGACCTCGAAGCCAACCACTTGAAGTCCAGGCCATAAATACAACCTGCAGAATATAAGTGGCTGAACAGGCTTCTTTTTCCAACTTTACAGTGAAAATGAGATTTCCCCCTCATTTAAAAAAAAAAATAGACTTTACTACCATTTTTAAAGTATTTGTATATTCTGAATAAGATGTGAAAGCACTTTAAAACAACTCCCTCTTTCATCTCTCTAGCTATAGGTATTGCAGAGAAAAATGAAAAATTAATCTTCACAATTAAGTTCACAACAAATGCATTGAAATCACAGCTATTTTTCTATTGCTTTCTATTGCACCAGAATCTTGGCAGTCTGCTGGCCTTGTAATGTAGACACCAGGGGCGAACTGACCATTTGGAAACTCGGGCACTGCCCGAGGGCCCGGGGGTCAGTAGGGGGCCCCATAAGATGCCCCTGGTACTTTTTCATAGGCTTTTTTGAGTTTGGCCAAGGGCACAGGGGCCCCATGATCCCCCAATGCCCGGGGGCCCCATAAGTTATCACTCCGCCCCTGGTAGACACCACAATCATCTTTGAGAATCAATAGCTTCAAAATACAATCAGATAGATGTCAGGAATGGCTTGTTTTTATAAGCTGTTTTACCATGTTAAACCATGTTTTTGCATTCTTTATTTCTAGTATTATTGTAACATAATAAAAAGAGAAGAAACAAGCCAGAGAATAATAGAGAAGGAACATTTTACTATGAACGACATTAGACTACCAATCATTAGCATATAAGGAAGTGCATTCAAATGAGAGGTAGAGGAAGGTGAGCGTGAATTTTTGAATATTCCATTAAAGAAATGTCGAATAGATGCAATGAAAGTCCAGCGGTCCTCACATAATGAAAGTAGAATTCAGTTTGCAGTGTTTTAACATTCTGCAAATTTAAAAAAAAAGACAACTATAAACATAACTTTCTATCCCTCATTAATAAAAAATACAATAAAAAAAATAGGATACATGCCAATTTTCTAGGTATGTCACTACTTACCTTAGTCCATTGTTAGCTAATCTTTCCATTATGTGATGATTGTCTTTCTTTTGCTAAGCTTCCTATAGGGGAGGGCAAATCATTTGAAGGTCTGGTGGATTTATTGAGTATGCAGTCAATCTGCTGGAGCGCGCGAGCCAGTGAGGATGGTGGAAGAATATTTGAGAGGAAACCTCTGACAGATATAAAAGACCAGCATCTTCTGACCTCTGCCATTGAAGCAAGAAATGCCTTACTAGAACAAGTAAAGTTTTAAAGTAAATACTCGACTGGAGATAGAAATTTTGGGTGTGAGCATTTAGTACTTCTAATATGTGAGAAAAATATTTGATATGCAAGATATTGATTCAAGAGCCTGTGTGGATTTTGGGATGATAAAAAACCCCAGAAATTAAAATTTAGTTTAGCTGTTCACTGAAGATGTCTTTTTAGGTAGTAGTACATCGCTTTATTGCTTATCGTTATTTGTAGTTTGAAATTTGCTGTGTATTTGATATGTTTACATTTTAGTCAGTCTTTTAAATAAAGCATTTTTAATACCTTTTCTAAAACAGAGCAAAGAGATCCCCAATAGTACAATACTCTTACAGTATATTTAGTCATTGGTAAAGTATAGTCTAATAAGAGGCACAAACATTTGTGAATTTCGAACAAGTGTCTTTAAAGCATATCTAAACAAAAAAAAAAAAAAGTAATATTGCAGCTTGCCAGTCCTTAACCTATTGCCGCTCATGTAGCGCATATGTGCAGCCTCACATAAGTCCATGGGCAAAAGGTTTCTGTGCTGAGAGTATGCTCACTGCATGGTCCCAGCACAGTGAACTGTCAAGGACAGCTCCTGGTCTCTAGTAATGAATGGGAGCCCGTGGGACCAGCTCCTAATCATGTGTCCACTGTTACAGCCAATCACAGACCTTCCCTCCCACTTAAAGTGATATTAAGATTTAACAGATTTTTTGTTTTAAAATAACAAACATGTTCTACTTACCTGCTCAGTGTAATGGTTTTGCACAGTGCAGCCCTGATCCTCCTCTTCTTGGGTACCCCGCTGGCGCTCCTGGCTCCTTCTCTCTGCTAAATGCCCCCAGAGAAAGGACTTCTAAGCCGCAATATATTACCCACTTGCCCTCCAGAAGATTTACCCCCCTTCCTGACTAGGCCATTTTTTGCTTATTTAAACTGGTAATTGTGTGGTCATGCAACACTGTGATTTTTATTTTTTGTGATATAAATGAAAAAAAAACTTTCTACCCTCTGTTATAAAAAATGTCCAAAAAAAATCCCAACAGATAACAATCCTGATGCAAGACAGTATAGGAATTTATAAAGATTTCTGGCTGGATAACCAGGATGTGTTTTTTTTTTTTTTTTTTGCATTTGTCAAACAGATTTAATAAAACACTTTGGCCTCGTTTACACCATACGTGCAGAAATACTGATGGAAACTGATGTGCAGATTTCACTTGCAGAGACGAGTTTATATCAGGTTTCGTGCGCGCTTCAATTAGATTGATACACGTTGCAGATTCCTGTTCAGAAAAAAATCTGCACTTGATTCTAGTGGTGTGGTGTGAACAGGGCACATAGAGAACAAATAGATTTTGTTGTGCCTTTGGAGAACGTGTGCAGAAAAACTGATGTCTCTGCACCATGGTGTGAACAAGTCGTTTTGATGGTATATACACTTTTTCAATAAAGAGCCTCCTTGCACAGGTACTTTAAGGCTCCATTCGCATAGGAGTTTTCCCATGCTGTAAATCCCAGTGCCAAGGATCTGCTGATTACTGCTGCTAGGATGGACAGCTGTAGCTGCTGAGCACATACACTGCAATGACAGGCTGTCGGTGGCTGCAGCTATTTGTGGCTGTTACATAGCCAGTGATTATCTGCAACGATCGCAGCTAGATATACGCAAAGTGTGTGCCACATTTGTGTGCATTCAGCCATGAGCACCACCTGCAGCCTATCATTGCAATGTACAGGCTTAGCAGCCGCAGCTATCCACACACAGCTGTCAATCCCAGCTGCAGGAATCAGGAGATTCTTGTTCACTAGGATTCACAGTGTAGGAAAAGCCCATGTGAATGGAGCCTGAAGCTAGGCAAAGACCGCATACAGTTAGTCTGCCTGAATGGAAAAAAGAACAGATTCTTCCATATACACAAGCGAGGTGGATGGAGGAATCCCCCGTTAGGGACATTGTATTCCAATGGCGACTCCTGCTGCTGTCAGAATACATTGATCAGGGTTAGGGTTGACAAACGTTTTCCAGCATGTCTGTTTAATGATGTCTAACAATCGACTTTTATCGAACAGGGAGGGCCACACACAGTTTGAAATTGGACCAAGCTTATGATGATATAGCAGAAGGAATAGCAAGGGTCACGTTTATCCCAAACAAGCACAGAAAATGTCCATTGTGTTGAAATCATTTTGTTTCATTATCTCAGATGTTATCAACTTTTAGATTCTTCTCTTCTGGCTGTGTCTAAATAACAAAGTACATGGCTGTGCAGATGTAAAGAGAGAATATCTGTATTCTGTTTTTTTACAATACAATAGTCACATTTGCCATTTTTTTTTTTTCATATGAAGATTGCTGATCTGGATGATGAATTTGCTTCATTAATGTTGGAGGAGTACAGTCGGGATTTTAATCTTATACCTCTGGAAAAGGTACTTTGTGTTCATCGTATTGTGTTTCACCTGGACAGATTTTTTTTAATGTATTTCCACCTTTTGCAGCCAAATTTGGATCTACTCTAAACATCTTTATATTTGTTACTTGTCCCTATTCACATAGCATAACTAAAAAAGCAAATAAATTGTAGCTTACCTTTTTATGAATGCTCTATTCTGAACCTTCCAGATTCCACTTCATTATCACTCATAAATATATTTGAACACTGTCTATCCTAACAAAGTGTTAACAGTGTAGAGGCTGGGCATCTTGCATTGTATGTTAATGAGGACAGATATGGGACAGGCTTACATTAATGTTGTTAAAAAAAAAAAAAAACCTTTCAGTCAGCCATGACACCTCCTCCTGAGAAACATTAAAAAGGTAAGAAATATTTACACCACCTCTCCACGTTGGCCAATCAGAGAAAGTCTTGTATTCATGGATAAAAAGACAAACTACAGTTGTGCTCAAAAGTTTGTATACCCTGGCAGAAATTGTGAAATGTTGGCATTGATATTGAAAATATGACTGATCATGCCAAAAAATGCTCTTTTATTGAAGGTTGATGATCATATGAAGCCATTTATTATCAAATACAGTGGGGATCGAAAGTTTGGGCACCCCAGCTAAAAATTTGTATTAATTGCATAAAGAAGCCAAGGAAAGATGGAAAAATCTCCAAAAGGCATCAAAACAGATTAGACATTCTTATAATATGTCAACAAAAGTTAGATTTTATTTCCATCATTTACACTTTCAAAATAACAGAAAACAAAAAAATGGCGTCTGCAAAAGTTTGGGCACCCTGCAGAGTTAATATCTTGTACTGCCCCCTTTGGCAAGTATCACAGCTTGTAAACGCTTTTTGTAGCCAGCCAAGAGTCTTTCAATTCTTGTTTGAGGTATCTTTGCCCATTCTTCCTTACAAAAGTCTTCCAGTTCTTTGAGATTTCTGGGCTGTCTGTCACGCACTGCTCTTTTAAGGTCTATCCATAGATTTTCAATTATGTTGAGGTCAGGAGATTGTGAAGGCCATGGCAAAACCTTCAGTTTACGCCTCTTGATGTAATCCCCCGTGGATTTCGAGGTGTGTTTAGGATCATTATCCATTTGTAGAAGCCATCCACTCTTTAACTTCAGCTTTTTCACAGATGGCATCAAGTTACCATCCAAAATTTGCTGAAATTTTATTGAATCCATTTTTCCTTCTACTCGTGAGATGTTCCCTGTGCCACTGGCTGCAACACAACCCCAAAGCATGATTGATCCAACCCCATGCTTAACAGTTGGACAGAGGTTCTTTTCATTAAATTCTGTGCCCCTTCTTCTCCAAACGTACCTTTGCTCATTCCGGCTAAAAAGTTCAATTTTAACCTCATCGGTCCACAGAACTTGTTTCCAAAATGCATCAGGCTTGTCTATATGTTCATTTGCAAAGTTCAAATGATGATTTTTGTGTTGAGGACGTAGAAGAGGTTTTCTTCTGATGACTCTTCCATGAAGACCATATTTGTACAAGTATCTCTTATAGTGGAATAGTGTACCACAACTCCAGTGTCTGCCAGATCTTTCTGGAGGGATCGTGCAGTCAAACGTGGGTTTTGAATTGTTTTTTCTCACAATCCTGCGAGCTGTTCTGTCTGATATTTTTCTTGGTCTTCCAGATGTTGCTTTAACTTCCACTGTTCCTGATGACTGCCATTTCTTAATTACATTCCGAACAGAGGATATTGACATCTGAAAATGCTTTGCGATCTTCTTATAGCCTTCTCCAGCTTTGTGAGCGTCAACTATTTTCAGTTTCAGTTTTCTAGACAACTGCTTAGAAGAACCCATGGTGCTGATTGTTGGGGCAAGGTCAGATGAGTCTGGGCATTTAAAACCCTTGAGATTGACATCATCTGGTCTTCCCAGATGATGATTGAGAACAATCCATGACACTGGCAGGCCTCAGCTTTGCAAAGGGGGCAGTGCATGCTATAAATTCTGCAGGGTGCCCAAACTTTTGCAGACGCCATTTTTTTGTTTTCTGTTATTTTGAAAGTGTAAATGATGAAAATAAAATCTAACTTTTGTTGACATATTATAAGAATGTCTAATCTGTAATTTGATGCCTTTTGGATATTTTTCCATCTTTCCTTGGCTTCTTTATGCACATTAATACAAATTTTTAGCTGGGGTGCCCAAACTTTCGATCCCCACTGCAGTTGTTTGGCTCCTTTTTAAATCATAATTATAACAGAAATCCCCCAAATGGCCATGATCAAAAATTTACATACCCTGGAATGTTTGTCCTTGGTACAGACACACAAGGTGACACACACAGGTTAAAAAGCCAATTAGAGGTTAATGTCCCACATCTGTGGCTTTTTAAATTGCAATTAGTGTCAGTGCATAAATAGTCATTGAGTTTGTTAGCTCTTACGTGGAAGCACTGACTAGGCTAGATACTGAGCCATGGGGATCATAAAAGAACTGTCAAAAGTCCTGCGTAACAAGGTAATGGAACTTTATAAAGATGGAAAAGGACATAAAAAGATTTACAAAGCCTTGAATATGCCAATCAGTATTGTTAAATTAAGAAGTGGAAAGTTCGGGGGTCTCTTGATACCAAGCCAAGGTCAGGTAGACCAAGAAAGATTGCAGCCATAACTGACAGAATAATTGTCTGGAATTAAAAAAAAACCCCAAAGGCAACCTCAAAAGAAATACAGGCTGCTCTGGAAATAGATGGTGTGGTTGTTTTTAAGGAGTACAATATGGTGATACTTGAACAAAAATGAGCTGTTTGGTCGAAGTGCCAGAAAGAAGCTTTTACTGCACCAATGCCACAAAAAAAAGCCCGGTTACAATATGCCTGACAACACCTTGACATGCCTAACCAGGCCTTCCTGTGTCATTGATGCAGTAAAGGCTTCTTTCTGGCACCTCGACCATGCAGCTCATTTTTGTTCAAGTGTCATCATATTGTGCTCCTTCAAAACAACCACACTGTCTTTTTCCAGAGAAGCCTGTATTTTTCTTGTGGTTACCTATGGGTTTCCCTTTGTATCCCGAACAATTCTTCTGGCAGTTGTGGCTGTAATCTTTCTTGATCTACCTCTACCTGGCTTGGTATCAAGAAGTCCACGAATTTTCTACTTCTTAGTGAAAGTGATGACTGGCATATTCAAGGCTTTGGACATCTTTTTATGTCCTTTTCCATCTTATAAAGTTCCATTACTTTGTTACACAGGACTTTTGACTGTTCTTTTCTGATCCCCATGGCTCAGTATCTAGCCTAGTCAGTGCTTCCACTTAAGAGCTAACAAACTCATTGACTATTTATACACTGACACGAATTGCAATTTAAAAAGCCACAGATGTGGGACATTAACCTCTAATTGGCATTTTAACCCGTGTGTGTGACCTTGTGTGTCTGTACCAAGGCCAAACATTCCAGGGTATGTAAACTTTTGATCAGGGCCATTTGGGTGATTTCTGTTATCATTATGATTTAAAAAGGAGCCAAACAACTATTTGATAATAAATGACTTCATATGATCATCATCCTTCAATAAAAGAGCATTGTTTGGCATGATCAGTCATATTTTCAATATCAATGCCAAAATGTGACAATTTCTGCCAGGGTATGTAAACTTTTGAGCACAACTGTGTATAAAGTCATAGTAAAAATGAAATTCTGCTTTAATTAGTCTTATACTTTTTCTATCAAACTGTGTATACATTATGAAAACAAAATGCATTGCAAAGTGAGGTTACCCTTGGCAGCCAGTGAAAATTTCTGTTTAATTTGATTCCCGTAGAATTTTATGAAAATTGTTCAATAATTATATATTATTTTAAATAAATGTATTTTTAGAATGTTTGTTTGACCAGCCAACTGATTAAATGTTTATTGATCTGTCTTAACTGACTGTTTATTGATCTGTATTAACCAGACTTCCCAGCTGTGTTTAGAAGCAGTATTACTTGTAGAGTAGTAAAGTATTGAAACGTCTGACTTGCCTTCGCTAACACCCAGTGTATTGTACAGTTACAGTCTGCAGTACGGAGGATCACTCTAGCTCGCTCTGCAGTTCCTGTGCTTTGCGGAAGCTCCTTAAAGAATAAAGGAGTTCAACCCCTTCTGGATGCAATCACTTTATATTTACCATCTCCAGATGACTGCCCTCATGACTTCATGTATGTATGAATGTAGCTAGAAGTTATATTCTTAAATTTATTGTCAATTGCATAGCCAACAGGAGACCTAGCAGCTTGAAATGAGCTTCTGATGGTTTGAACTTTAACAGATTGGCCAAATCTAAAATAAATGTCAATGGTTAGCTTTGTCAAAGTTGCAGAATCTAGTGAATACATGCCCTTTAGGTTTGGCCTAAAAAAAGGTTGTGTGTGAAGTCAACAGACATAGTGATAGAATTCAAATTCATCTACCAAAAGTTGGGTCATTGAGCAACTGGATTTTATGTCCTTGGATGTATGTGCTAAGGCCAAAACTTGCCACTTACTGTATGTCTCCGAGAGGCAGGAAAAGCCAGCCAATGCTGTAACTGGTGCCTACCCAATCTGAAATATCACCTGGGTACAGTGGGCTGCTTTCAAAAGTTTTAACATCTTAGAGAAGCCTTTCTAAGCCTATATATTTATAGTTCTTGCGGACCCCTTGCAAATAGATTATGTCTATAGTTACATAGTCTGGCTGAAAAAAGACAAACATCCATAGATCGTGGTATGTTAATGTGGTAGTCAGTGTGAAGAAGTCTATAGATTGTGGTATGTTAATGTGGTCGTCAGTGGGAGGAAGTCTATAGATCATGGTATGTTAATGTGGTCGTTAGTGGGAAGAAGTCTATAGATCATGGTATGTTAATGTGGTCGTCCATGGGAAGAAGTCTATAGATCATGGTATGTTAATGTAGTAGTCAGTGTGAAGAAGTCTATAGATTGTGGTATGTTAATGTGGTCGTCAGTGGGAGGAAGTCTATAGATCATGGTATGTTAATGTGGTCGTCCATGGGAAGAAGTCTATAGATCATGGTATGTTAATGTAGTAGTCAGTGTGAAGAAGTCTATAGATTGTGGTATGTTAATGTGGTCGTCAGTGGGAGGAAGTCTATAGATCATGGTATGTTAATGTGGTCGTTAGTGGGAAGAAGTCTATAGATCATGGTATGTTAATGTGGTCGTCAGTGGGAAGAAGTCTATAGATCATGGTATGTTAATGTGGTAGTCAGTGTGAAGAAGTCTATAGAGCATGGTATGTTAATGTGGTCATTAGTGGGAAGAAGTCTATAGATCATGGTATGTTAATGTGGTTGTTAGTGCGAAGAAGTCTATAGATCATGGTATGTTAATGTGGTCGTCAGTGGGAAGAAGTCTATAGATCATGGTATGTTAATGTGGTCGTTAGTGGGAAGAAGTCTATAGATCATGGTATGTTAATGTGGTCGTTAGTGGGAAGAAGTCTATAGATCATGGTATGTTAATGTGGTTGTTAGTGCGAAGAAGTCTATAGATCATGGTATGTTAATGTGGTAGTCAGTGGGAAGAATGCCTCTCACATTGGTGGTCATTGGAAAGAGGTCTCCTCTTCAGATAGCAAAAAAATATAACTGATGTCAGTGGTTACATATCTGAGAGACAGACAATGCTCAAGGAACCACTAGCAAACCTCTTGGAGGTACCCTGATTGAGAGAGACTGCCTTAAATAGTAAGTTCACAATGCAACATTTTGAAAGGGTTGGGTTAAGTGAGTATGTTTTGTTTTGTAAGTCATCGAGGACACATTCACATCTGAGGATTAAGTTGTCCAAGTCTTCGTGTTCTTTAGGCAGCAATAACACATGAGCTGAGTGTCCTTAGTCATTTTACAGGTTTTTTTTTTTTTTTTGGTTTTTTTTTTTTGTTTTTACCTTTTTTGCATCCAAGGCGAGAGTGTTTGGGTTTTTTTTTTTTTGCATTATTTTTAGTCCATGGAAAGCTAGTTACTAGGGGAAAGTGTGTATTGGGGCAATAAAAAAACACTTAAAGCTTGAAACTTGTAGCTCAAAGAAGCTTTAAGCAACATTACACTCAGGTGTAAACAGGCACAATTAAAAACCATGGGATTTTAGAGGTTTGAGCTACAAGTGCTGTAGTTTTAGTGGATGAGAAATTCTAGCTTCTGCTGGCTGTAATCGAATGATGGAGGCATAGGAAACTACAGGCCTTTAAGACCTGGAGAAGAGAAGTACAAATGTGAACTGTATTATTAAAGCTTTGAGTACAATAAAAATGTAGGGAAATTGGCTAAAAATGTTCAGATGCTGTTTCCATCCAACTATCGGTAATCTTATCCTGTTTCCAATAACCATTTCATAGGTTCTCTGTCAGTGTGATCTGAAATAGCATGTTTATCTGCCAACCAAATAGTAAGTCTGGGTACATTTATTTCTAGGTTATAGGAAGATGAACACTATAAAAAGACACTACGAAAAAGCTTACCTTCAAATAGAACTATGATTATATGATGTGTACAATTTCTTTAAGGTCTTGGTACAAGGATGACCTGTGTGCTCTGGCATTCAAGGTTGTACATGACAAGCAGCGTGGACCCCTGGTCTTTGTCAGGATATACTCGGGAATGATGAAGTCGCAGTCTGCAATATATAATGTCAACCAAAACTGCATGTATGTATTAACTATAAGATTATTTTGAATTGCTAAAGTATGTTAGCTGAGCAGTGTAGTTGTGAATGGCTGTGTATGTATTTTGTAAATATTTCTCAATTTATATATTTTAGAAAAAGTAATCATTGCATAATGTAAACATTGTTAGCTTTGCACTATGGGCAAAACAAAATGGAATCCCAGCTTGCATATGAACACATTGCCAATAATACAGTATTGTTTTTTCTACTTCTCAGTGCCCAATGTAATGCAAACTGAACAGCACCTTTGAAATCTATATGCTATTGAAATTCCAAGCAGTCATAGTGGAGATGTCTTCCTGTTGCCCAAGCTAAAGTCAGCCATAGATTGTTTGCAGACTGAACAAAAGAAATCTAACCGATTCCTCTATCCATGCTAATCAGCACAGATGGAGATATACCCCACTGCTTCTATTGTATTTGGTCAGCCAGCCCCACCAGCTGCGAAAATACCCAAATGGTGGTTCCACCTGACAGTGCCACTCATCAGAAACCAGATGAAATTCAAACAATGTATGACCAGCTTAAGCAGTAGTTTAAAGTGATTCTTAATTATTTTTTTTAAAGGAAAAAATAACAAACATGTCTATACTTACCTGCTGTGTGCAGTGGTTTTACACACAACAGCCTGGATCCTCCTCTTGTCAGGTCCCCCGCAGGCTCTCCTGGCCCCTCCCTCCTGTTGGGTGCCCCACATTAAGCAGCTTGCTATGGGGGCACCTGCAGCTCCATGTGTCCATTCACTCACAGAGCCTTGGCTAGGCCCCGCCCCCTCTTCTCATTGGCTCACTGGCTGTGATTAACAGCAGTGAGAGCCAGTGGCTCCTGCTTCTGTCTCAGCCAATGACAAGAGGGAGTCCCGGGTTAGCCGAGACTCCAGTGTACATTGCTGGATCAAGAGGGGGTTTAGGTGAATATTGGGGGGGGGGAGGGGGGCTGCCGCACACAGAAGGTTTTATGCCTTCATGCAGGTAAAAAATCTTAAGTCTTTAGACTTTCATTTTTGAGCTGAAGGCATGTGGCTGGTTTGCTGCATTGATTGACAAACCTTGCTCCAAATTCATCCAACTTGTAATTGTGAAAAATGTTTCTAGTTTATAGAAAACTGTGGTTTGTAAATCCAGAAAAAAGGAAGCCACAATCTAAAAGGAAGTATGGTAAAATCTGCATACTTTGTTTTAGTATGTAGCAGTGTAAAGTTTACATGTGCTACAGATTACACTATATGATTGTTTATATGAGAGTTTTTTCTTTTAAACAAAGCTAGGGGTTTGCCTTAAAGGAACTATACAGTAAACAGACTGATGGCAGTTTTTTTCCATACATTTTAATTTACATATTTTATGCTTTATTTAGGGAAAGGATGAGCCGTTTGCTGCTGCCATTTGCTGATCAACAAGTTGAAATCTCTTCCTTGTCTGCTGGTAATATTGCTTTGGCTGTTGGACTAAAACAGGTATACAGGAATACAGTTTTACTTTCATAGCACCGTTGTATAAAAACCCACAATCACCTTCTGGCAAGAGAGTAGTAGTACCATAGCCATTAATACAAAGCTTTCAGAAAGATATACAGTGGTACAAAAGCAATATAAAAAGTACCTTTCTCTGTAAAATGGGATTACCTTATCTATTCCTCCACCCTGTTGGTGTGACCATTCCTAACCTAAGAATATCACATTGGTAATTGGCAGGCTGAAAGTGTGCATTTCTTCATATCAGGGAATATGACTGCTTTCCACTATGTACAGTTAGCTGATCTTTTGCTTTAAACTGCACTTTAAGCTTCTAACTTTCCCCTCCCTAAGAGTGCATACTTGTCATCCCATCACACCCCTGCCACTCCATTCAGCTACTGAGAGTGAAAAAATGGAAGCCCTCTGTAAGCTTCAGGTTGTTTCTCCCCATTGTCATGCAATTACCATACCAATGTCCAAGCACCAGTGCTGTCACATGAGAGGAAGTGAAATAAATAACATGCTCCCTATATGCAGATGTACTGGATATATTTCCTTGCTCTAACAGATGGGCAGGTGAGTATTGGATGCACATGTTTATACTTTAGGCTTCTTAACCACTTGCCCTCCAGAGGATTTACCCCCTTTTCCTGACCAGGCCATTTTCTGCAATACAGTGTTGCGTTACTTTGACAATTGCGCGATCATGCAGTGTTGCACCCAAATGAATATTGTCCTTTTTTTCCCACAAATAGAGCTTTCTTTTGGTGGCATTTGATCACCTGTGCTTTTTTTTATTTTTTGCACTATAAACAAAAATAGACCGACCTTTTTGAAAAATAAAACAATATTTTTTGACTTTTTGCTATAAAACATATCCAGTAAAAACAAAATGTAAAAAATCTAATTTCATCATAAATTTAGGCCAAAATGTATTCTGCTACATGTCGTTGCTAAAAAAAAATCCCAATACATGTAAATTAATTGTTTACATCTGTGCAGGTGGTGCAGCTGCAGATCCGCACGAAAACCACCCGCACAGAGGAATGCAGATCGGCGGGCGGGTGCCATTAGTTCTAATGGCACGCTGCCCGCACTGGAAAACGCAGCCGTACTGGGAACCTTCTTCCCTGCGTGTCATGGGGCACGAGAGTCCATCAAATTTAATGGGCTTTTGTGCCCTCGCAAATTGCGGCCCGCATGGCCGCATATATGTGAACCAGGGCTTGGTGATCACTGGTTGCTGGTGGAGAATTTCCGTCCAGGAACCGGTGATTGACATCCATAGCCGCCAACGGTGGTGAGGGTAGGGCGGCGTGCGCGCCTCCCTGGAACTGGGTTAATTTCGATATATATGTGGCCATTCCTGTTCAATGGAAGTCGATCATTAGCTTCATTTCGGTGGAACAGGAGTGTTGAAAGACTTTTGTTAATCAACAGATGCAGCCAGTCCGCAATGCACGTCACGTGATTAAGAGCTGTGAGGCTTGAAATTGTGTTTCATGAAGATGCTTGTAATGGCAATAAAGATATATGTGATATAAGCAAGAAACGTGGAGATATATGTGTGTTATAGGTATATATTAATACTACTAGATTGATTGATTTTTTTCTATTACATATCTGATGTGTTAGACTGCAACTGGAGACACCATTGTGTCTTCTAAATCAGCAGCAGCAGCCGCCTCTCGTAGGGCCAATAGATCAGGAGAGAAGAAGGAACAGAAGTCAGAACAGGACTTGGTATTGGCTGGAGTGGAGATTCCTGAATCCGTTTTCTTTTGTACTATTGAACCCCCATCTGTGGCCAAACAGACAGGTACTTCTAAACTGGTTCCACAATGTACCTGATTTTAAAATTCTGCTAATGAAGAGGATGAGATTTACTGTCTTGGGTTTGTGTATTTCATTATCTTTTTGTTTGCATCCAGATTTGGAAAATGCACTGAAGTGTCTTCAGCTGGAGGATCCAAGCTTGAAAGTGAAGATAGATCCTGATTCTGGGCAAGTAAGAATGTGTCTATGTTAAAGCTTTTGTTTCCCAAAGTGAAATACTTTAAAAATGTTAAAAAACACACCCATCTAGTCTGGTGATCAAATTGTGGCACTTGATAGTGTTGGGAAATGACATGCTAGAAGGATACATAGAAAATTAATAGAGATAAGTATGACAATTCAGGGATTGTGCCAAATGTGGAGGAGCTGATATTGACTGCATTGTGAATAAATATTATCGCTCACTGTGAATGCTTAGCTGTTAAGCTGGCCATGAATTGATCGAAATCCAGTTGGTTCATCAGGGACCAGTTTTATTCCGATACATTTACGGCCATTCCTGTTTGAGGAGTAAATCTAATGATTGATTTCTCTTGAACATGCTAACTGGTACATTTTTATTTGAACAGTGCTGCAGCCAATACAATAGTGCAGTGGGGGGAGTGGGGATTCCTCCATTCACTTTGAGTGTGTGGGTTGGGAAATCTGTTTTTTTTTTTATCATAAAAAAACAATACATGTATGGTCAGCTATAGATTACTTACTCTGATAGCCAATATTGCAAAAACTTCAAATCTTTGACATGTCTGTGCCCCAAAACATAGCTAAAAATGGCAGTGGTGCAACTTTGTAGTTATTTTAACCCCTTAATGGTGTGTGTGTGTGTAATATCTGACCGTAGGGAGGTGGGAATTAATGTCACCCCTTGTTGATGCTGGTAGCAGGCTCTCAGACACATTGGAATGTGTTGTCATTGACAGCTACCGGTCGCTGTTTATGATCATGAGAAGGCAATGTGAGCTTCTGGTGACATTTTCTCATTCAGTCACTGTGAAAACATGAAAAAGAAACCCATGTAACTCCCACATGCTACAACGGGGTAATACTGATGTGTTCCTTTTAATTAAAGCCAAAATTAACTTTTAGTTTAAATTGGCTAAATACATTTCAGGTGCATCAAAACAAAAGGTGTGCAAAGTCTTAAATTTTTTTTTTTCTATTAAAAGTCACAGCCTGATTCGAAAAGCCTGTCTCTTGCTAAAAGCTGCAGAGAATGACCCTTGCCCTCTCTGTGGGGAAGAAGTGTCCTGCCCCCCCCAGACATCTACAGAGAGACCACTGCTTCCACACAGACAGGGTCCTACTCTGCAGCTGCAAACCAGGAACCTGCTTCTCTAATTGGGCTGTTGCTGTTTAAAACCGCTTCCTGCCCGCTATATAAGGAAATGATAGGAGGGCGTCAGTTTTTTTTTTGTTCTGGGAAAACGTCCTATGACGTCCTCCCACTCTAGCTGCGCATGCTCGCTCTCTGGGGTACGCTGCGATCGGTGGTGCGCTCTGTCAATGGGACACAGTGGATCACCGATCGCAGTAACGAGCCGATGACATAGGCTCTATCGTGTGATCAGCTGTGTCCAATCACAGCTAATCGCATGTAAATAGGAAATGCCAGTTATCGACAGTCCTCTCCTCACGCTAACAGCGCGTGAGGAGAGCCGGTAAGCGACATTTCTCAGAGTGGATATGTACACTGATCATCAGTGCCCTGATGATCAGTGTAGCCCCGTCAGTGCCCATAATTGCCACCTGTCAGTGCCCATCAATGCCACATACCAGTGCCCAAAATGGCCACCTGTCAGTTCCCATGAATAAAACATATCAGTGCCCATCAGAGCTGCCTTTCTGTACCAACTATCAGTGCCAGTCAGTGCCGCCTATCAGTGCCATATGTGAGTGATGCCTGTCAGTGCCAGTCAGTGCTATCAGTGCCATATATGAGTGATGCCTTTCAGTGCCCACCAGTGATACCTGACAATGCCCATCAGTGCCGCCTATCAGTGCCCATCACTGCAGACTCATCAGTGAAGCAGAAAAATTACTTATTTACAACATTTTATAACAGAAACTAAGAAAAAAACATTTTTTTTTTCCAAATTTTTATTTTTTTAGTTTGTTTAGCAAAAAAATAAAAAAAACCCCAGAGGTGATTAAATACCACCAAAAGAAAGCTCTATCTGTCTCAAAAAAATTAGAAAAATTTTGTTTGGGTATAGTGTTGCATGACCACGCAATTGTCATTCAGAGTGCGACAGTGCTGAAAGCTGAAAATTGGCCTGGGCAGGAAGGCGGAACACCTTTTTGTTTTGATGTATCTGGAAGATATTGTATTTATCTGATTTAAACTGAATGTTCATTTAGGCTTTAATATTAAAGAAATGGGAATGTTTAACATTTCCAATATATTATTTGCGTTATATTTTTTTTCTACAAGGTCTGTCTGCAGTATTCTATCAAATGTCTGCAGTATTCTATCTATCTGCCTTTTGCACTTTCCTGTCTTCTGTACAATATTTACTTAATACAGTACCTGTTGTCCTCCACTTAATTACATTGTTTTCAGATGATTCTCTGTGGAATGGGAGAACTGCACATTGAAATCATTCACGACCGTATCCGGCGGGAGTATGGCTTGGAGACCTATCTAGGACCTCTTCAGATTGCATACAGAGAAACTATACTGAGTGCTTCCAAAGCATCAGGTACTGTGCTATAGGCTCTGATTATTTTTTCATGATGGCTTTGTAACCAGATTTCACTTTCATCACTTAGCTTCAAAGCCAAATCTTCAGACCACCATTATCACAAGTGTAATAAAAGCGCCACACCCTTAATACTTTAAAGCAGCAATTCCACCTCAAAGAAACCAAATAAATTTCTTAGTGCTATAACTTAAATCAAGGAATGCGCTAAAACCACAAACTATTCCTAATTTAGTGTAGAAACATTAGTGCAAAAGATATATATATCTATTATCAATTAATATCAAAAAATATCAAAATTATGTGCAAAACATAAGTAATTTAAATAATTAAATTTGTGAATATAAAAAAAAAACAAAAATGTCCAATTCTGAATTTCTTCAAATGTCCAAATAAATCCTTTCCAAATTCAGGTGCTCTCAAAGAAATTGTGCCAAAATCCACCACCAAAAGTAAAGTTGGGTAACTCACCAGAGCTCCATGCTGATCAATCTCTAGATCAGCAAAAAACGCTTTTTGCTCTGGGAGCAGATGCAATGAATCAACTTCTCAGGTGTGATGATCAATAGCTACACATTCATCCATAAGGTAGGTATCCACCACTCAATATAATGGTTCCAGGAGCATTATATCACTCTCTCTTTTTATATCTCTCCACCGAGGTCATGTTTGGGAATGAAAGAGAAAAAAATCATGGTGCAGCCAGTTTTTTTATAAAAGTATCCAACAATTTAATAAAGATTTACACTCACAAAAAGGGTGTCTTCACCGACACCAGTATAACAGCATAAAACAGCAAATGGTATAACAGTCTCCTGTTCCCCGTACACTCACTACAGCGCTCGTGACTTAATTTTCTCCACAAACGTCAGCATCCAGTAAGCCCTACTAGTTTCGTCATGAATGACGTCTTCAAGGGGCGGTCTGGATGCAGACGTCGGCTCCTCTCTAATATACCACCCGCACTCTGCATTGCTGAGTAGCTTAACCAATCACATTAACAACTCCATGAATATGCATCTCCAATTACAGAATGTTAAGGCGAAGCAGCACAATCTCCAAACAAGCTTCCAACCTCGTCTTACACCCTGCAATTTCTTTTTTTACAAAACATCCACAAATATCACAGGCCATATAACAGCATCAAAATACTAAAAAAGCAGCATAAAATGTTAACATCGTCCATTTAAAGGGCCATACCCACATTAAAGAAGAACTCTACAATCAAAATTTATATATATAAAAAAAATACAATATGTGTAAAAAAAATACATAAAATATCTCTAAAAAATACAAACCAAAAACTATACATAAAATGAAACAAGTAATCCTCCTTTATATATCAAAAAATTCCTTCACAATCCCCATATATCACAAATTCCGTTTTTTTCTTTTTTTTCTTAACCCAAAGCATGTAGCATATCCAAGAAGTATTCTTTCAAAAGTTTGTCAAAAAACAGTTAAGATCAATATCTATATTCATACCTTTTGGTTTTAAACAGTCCAATTCATATATCCAATATGTTTCCTTCTTTGATATTTCTTTAATCATATCAGACCCCTTCCAATGCTCATTAATTTTTTCAATGCCATAAAAAATTGCTAAACTTGGGTCACTATTATGTTTTAATTTAAAATGCTTCGACACACTATGTTTTTCAAAACCTTTTTTTATATTATTTAAATGTTCTGCAATCCTCGTCTTCAAATGTCTCCCTGTTCTTCCTACGTATTGGAGGCGACACGGGCACTCCAAAACATAGATCACATGTGTTGAATTACATGAGATAAACGAGTCGATATTATATTCTTTGTTAGTTGTACTTGAGCAGAACTTTTTCTTACTTTTTACTCAAAGCCTTATTCGCTGTTTTACATGCTTTACATTTTTTACAGTGAAAAAAACCTTTTAGACCCGGAAAAAAATTTTTCTTTATATTAGGGGGATCTAAAATATTATGGACTATCTTTGTTTTCAGAGATCTATTTTTTCTATAGATAAATTTTGGTCTCTGGGGAATAATTTCTCTCAATACTTCATCTTTCAAAAGTATGGGCCAATATTTTTTAACAATTCCTTCTATGATCTTATATTGATTATTGAAATTTGTAATAAATGAGATATCGAAACCTTCATTTTTTTCTTTCTTATCAAGCAAAAGCCTCTTCCTATCTTTTTTATCAATCAAATCCCTTTCAGAAACCAAAAAAGATCTATTATACCCTTTTTCTGCGAATCTATCTATTAACATTTCTGTTTGATCAAAAAAGTCTTTTTGTAAACTACAATTTCTTTTTATCCTTGTGAATTGACTTCTTGGGGTACTATATAACCATCTCGGATGATGTCCACTCGAGACGGGAATATAACTATTTTTGTCAACATCCTTGAAAAAAGTCTTTGTCCAAATACAACCTTCATGTTTATACAATATCAAATCTAAAAAATTAATACTATTGAAATCACTAGTCATCGTGAATTTCAAACTATAGCGGTTCTCATTGATCACCACCAAAAAGTTTTCCAAATCTTCAAAAGAACCTCTCCAAATCATCACAATATCATCTATATAGCGCCTGTATAGCGCTATTTCAGGCCATTTTTCAAAGATATTTTCTTCTTCCCATTTGTCCATAACTATGTTCACAAGGATAAAAAGAATTGTAGTTTACAAAAAGACTTTTTTGATCAAACAGAAATGTTAATAGATAGATTCGCAGAAAAAGGGTATAATAGATCTTTTTTGGTTTCTGAAAGGGATTTGATTGATAAAAAAGATAGGAAGAGGCTTTTGCTTGATAAGAAAGAAAAAAATGAAGGTTTCGATATCTCATTTATTACAAATTTCAATAATCAATATAAGATCATAGAAGGAATTGTTAAAAAATATTGGCCCATACTTTTGAAAGATGAAGTATTGAGAGAAATTATTCCCCAGAGACCAAAATTTATCTATAGAAAAAATAGATCTCTGAAAACAAAGATAGTCCATAATATTTTAGATCCCCCTAATATAAAGAAAAATTTTTTTCCGGGTCTAAAAGGTTTTTTTCACTGTAAAAAATGTAAAGCATGTAAAACAGCGAATAAGGCTTTGAGTAAAAGTAAGAAAAAGTTCTGCTCAAGTACAACTAACAAAGAATATAATATCGACTCGTTTATAAACAATCATGTAATTCAACACATGTGATCTATGTTTTGGAGTGCCCGTGTCGCCTCCAATACGTAGGAAGAACAGGGAGACATTTGAAGACGAGGATTGCAGAACATTTAAATAATATAAAAAAAGGTTTTGAAAAACATAGTGTGTCGAAGCATTTTAAATTAAAACATAATAGTGACCCAAGTTTAGCAATTTTTTATGGCATTGAAAAAATTAATGAGCATTGGAAGGGGTCTGATATGATTAAAGAAATATCAAAGAAGGAAACATATTGGATATATGAATTGGACTGTTTAAAACCAAAAGGTATGAATATAGATATTGATCTTAACTGTTTTTTGACAAACTTTTGAAAGAATACTTCTTGGATATGCTACATGCTTTGGGTTAAGAAAAAAGAAAAAAACGGAATTTGTGATATATGGGGATTGTGAAGGAATTTTTTGATATATAAAGGAGGATTACTTGTTTCATTTTATGTATAGTTTTTGGTTTGTATTTTTTAGAGATATTTTATGTATTTTTTTACACATATTGTATTTTTTTTTATATATATAAATTTTGATTGTAGAGTTCTTCTTTAATGTGGGTATGGCCCTTTAAATGGACGATGTTAACATTTTATGCTGCTTTTTTTAGTATTTTGATGCTGTTATATGGCCTGTGATATTTGTGGATGTTTTGTAAAAAAGAAATTGCAGGGTGTAAGACGAGGTTGGAAGCTTGTTTGGAGATTGTGCTGCTTCGCCTTAACATTCTGTAATTGGAGATGCATATTCATGGAGTTGTTAATGTGATTGGTTAAGCTACTCAGCAATGCAGAGTGCGGGTGGTATATTAGAGAGGAGCCGACGTCTGCATCCAGACCGCCCCTTGAAGACGTCATTCATGACGAAACTAGTAGGGCTTACTGGATGCTGACGTTTGTGGAGAAAATTAAGTCACGAGCGCTGTAGTGAGTGTACGGGGAACAGGAGACTGTTATACCATTTGCTGTTTTATGCTGTTATACTGGTGTCGGTGAAGACACCCTTTTTGTGAGTGTAAATCTTTATTAAATTGTTGGATACTTTTATAAAAAAACTGGCTGCACCATGATTTTTCTCTTTCATTCCCAAACATGACCTCGGTGGAGAGATATAAAAAGAGAGAGTGATATAATGCTCCTGGAACCATTATATTGAGTGGTGGATACCTACCTTATGGATGAATGTGTAGCTATTGATCATCACACCTGAGAAGTTGATTCATTGCATCTGCTCCCAGAGCAAAAAGCGTTTTTTGCTGATCTAGAGATTGATCAGCATGGAGCTCTGGTGAGTTACCCAACTTTACTTTTGGTGGTGGATTTTGGCACAATTTCTTTGAGAGCACCTGAATTTGGAAAGGATTTATTTGGACATTTGAAGAAATTCAGAATTGGACATTTTTGTTTTTTTTTTATTCACAAATTTAATTATTTAAATTACTTATGTTTTGCACATAATTTTGATATTTTTTGATATTAATTGATAATAGATATATATATCTTTTGCACTAATGTTTCTACACTAAATTAGGAATAGTTTGTGGTTTTAGCGCATTCCTTGATTTAAGCTTCAGACCACCATACTGGTGGGTTAAAAGTAGTGACAGAATAAAGACCTCATTTACCATTCTGGCCATTTTGTGTAGTAGTATCTGTAAAAGAAATTGTGCATTCTATTTTCTACGCTTTTCCTATGTATTGCACACTGCACTCATTGTGCATGTGGCACTAATAATGTTTTGATAACTTTTGCATTCTTTTGAGTCCTGATTAGAAATTATCTTGCCTATGTAATGACCCCTTGTTACCATAAAAGTACAATTGTAATATTAATGTGCTACCTACATAAGCATGTGTATTAAAAAAAAACCTCAATTGATCCAAATGAACAGTTATTTGGAGATGCTGAGTGTGTCTCTTTGTCTGTTCCCTGCTGCAGTAGTTATTATTCATTTGGAACTACTAATCAGTATGAGGATAGGAGTTGCCTATCAATTTCCAGAACAGTTGGCAAGCTTTTGCCTAGGAGGGGATTTACAGGTGACCCTGAAATCCGAAACAAGGAGTTTGAGACGATCTGGGAATTTCTGATCATCAGCCAGCTGAGGTAACCCCTTTGCTTGCATTTGAGTTATCAGACTTCCTTGATTGGTAAGGCATTTTCAGGGTAGAGTGAGTATATTTTACTCCCCAAAATTAAACTGTAGCAAATTTTAGCATATCTGCTAAACATTTTAGCATATCTGCTGTTGGGCATTCATTTTTAAATGAAGTTAAATAGGTGGAAATTGATATATATATATATTTTTTTTTTAACTAAGAACAAAGACCTGAAATGTGATAACTGTAATAGACCCTTTTGTTATTTTAGAAACCTTGGATAGAACCATAAATGATAATCGGCACCAGGTGACAGCTGAAGTTGAAGTGACCCCCTTGACTGATGGTGGCCCAGTTATTAAATACGCTGAAAGCCTTCATCAGAGTTTATTAAAAGACTATAAGGAGGCAATAGAAAATGGTATTCATAGTGCTTATCTAACAGGTAAGAGAAGGTGCTGTTTTGTATCAGTAGGTTTTTTTATTTATTTATTTAGAAGTAAAGACATCCATGTGCTTGCACCTAAAAAAAGTGTAGTAAATAAAACCACTTTTCTGCCTCCTGATGTCACACAGCTAGCAGGGATATGCTGGTGGAATGTATGCATGTGATACAGTGCTCTGGTTTTCTGGAAACCCGCTTTGCAAAAGCTTCTATGCTTTTTAAGTCACTGATCTGGAACAAATCTGCAGATTTGCATGTCTGACTCAAAGATTTTTGAGTTCAGTGACTGTATACTTGCTTTGGTCTGTGCAGCTGCTCTAAAGGATAAGTTCACCTTTTTTAGAAAAAAAAACTATAAATGCACATGTTTTTGCAGGAAAAAAATGTGCGTTTATTATTTTTGTCTACAGGAGCCTGGAAAGCATTACACAGCAATTAGTAGATCACTGATGCCATGCAGGTCTTCTGCAGATCTGTCAGAATATCTGCTTGCTGTATGGGATGTACGGCAAGCAGATTTTCTGACAGGAAAGGTTCAATTAACTACCACGGCGCTCCACAGTCCCGTGGTAGTTCATTGAAAACTACAAGGCTGTCGGGATTTGTAGTTCATTTATTCACAGAAGTCCGTGAATGAATGATGTGGCTGTGGGCAGAGCCCCACACAGCAGCACTGTTTTCAAATATGACAGATAGTACAGGAGAAGTCTCCTCATACTATCTGTCAAATGGGGGGCGGCGTCTGTGGATATGGGAACATGTTACCCCCTAAAAACGGGTGGAACATGTAACATGTTCCCAAAGGTGAACTTGTGCTTTAACTTGTTTTCGCTTTTGATCTCCTCCTTGCTAGATCAAGGTGAAGTAATACTGTGCAAGTACCTGTTACAACTTGAAGCTTACAAAGTTCTGAGATTTTTCTCCACGTCCCTGTTTTAGAGGGATTGGTGGAATTTGAGTCATATGCTACCCCATACCCAACAGTTTGTCACTTTGTTTACCAAGTGGAGGGGAGGTAACAATAAGCAGCTGCTGAGATTTTCCAATTACAGTGAAAAAATACTTTCACTCCAGTAAATGTAGAGATCAGTTGGCAACCCAGCAGATTTCATGAAGGAGGACATTGATTGTTGCTGGGAGTTTCCATTTTTTCGCTGAATGTGGAAAACGCCTGTAATTTTGTTGAGTAAGGCACCTTTCAGATGGGGCGGACTCCATCAAGCAGATTCTCCTGCTCAGTGGGGGATCTCCTCTGATTCCCTGCTGAGCAAAGGGATGATAGGTCTATGTTCGCTCCTCTATGCATCTATGTTCTCTGTGGGGCGGTTGGATGGAAACGTACCACTTGTCTGTTTCCAATCCAAATGTTATCCGATCCACCGCACAAATGGGCAATGCATCTCTATTCGTCCGCTTTTAGCGTACAGGACTGGTTTGGATGCTGGCAGGTGTCAGTGAAAATATGTCAGCCGACACCCACCGCTCCACACATAGCTATGGTTGGTCCTCCTGAAAAATTGGACCAAATCGGGCCATCAGTGTGGAAAGGGGCCTTAGGGTTGAAATGATGAACATATTGGGCAGTTTGAAGTGAAGTGTTAAAATGTCTCTAAAATACTGTTTTAATTGTTCTTATTAATGAAGACTTGGGCTAAGGTATTTGCTATGTTCTGATTTCTGTCTAGGTCCTCTACTTGGTTCACCCTTACTGAATGTTGGGATCACAGTGCACTCAATAAATATACTATCTGGCACCTCTGCGACAATGGTGTCAGCCTGTGTTTCACGCTGCATGCAGAAGGTAGTTGTCTTCAAATAAATGGAAATGTTTGTCAAAAAATGACTTGCTAGACTGAATATTAAGACTGTCCATGCCATCATCCAAGTTAATATAATGATTTAAAGTGTACCTTTAGCCAAACTGTGTTTTTGTTTAGTTTTTTTTGATAGAGTAGGTAGGTCTTTTTTTTGTTTTGTTTTTTAATTGCCATCTGTATCCCTGCTGAGCAGATTTACTTTCTCTATTCCTGTGATCATTCTCCATAAAAGTGCAAGGAAGTTCAAAATTTTAGGTTTTTCACCAGAAGAGGCAAGGAGAAATCTTCCAAAGTCTTTTTCTGGGACAACTACTTTGTAGAGACTTCTTGTTGCATCTCCAGGAAGTGAAATCTCAACAGGACACAAGCAGCAGAAAATAAGTTTGAACCTTTCCCATCCTGACCTATATCCTTAGCTAAAAAAAAAAAAAACATTTGGCTATATACACTTTGAGTTGAAAAGGGTATTGTTTGTAAAAAAAGTAAATACTCTTTAAAATATAACTGAAGCTAAACCGTTTTTTGTTTTTTTTTTTTTTTTTAGTTTTGGTCGAGAGGGATTAAAACATTTGCCACATTTTAATTGCTGTCTGCACCTCTGTTAAAGCGGAGCTCCACCCAAAAGGGCAAGTTCCACTTTAAGCCTTTGTCACCCGCTCCCCATTAAGGATTGGCACCTTTCGGGAGCGGGTACCCGAATTTGACAGGTACCCGCTCCCACTTCCGTTTCTATCACTTAGGCGATCGGAAGCGGAAATTTTTTTCCCCCCTCCCCCACCGTAGTCTTCTGGGACACGTGACAGGTCCCAGAAGACTACGGGGCCATTCACAAAAGCGCAGTGCTTCTTGCGCATGCGCAGTGGGCACCCGGCAAGCTATCACAGCTGGGTGCCCACACTGAAGATGCCGGCGCCAGGGAGAGAAGACGGCCGGTGAAACCAGCCGTGGTGAGGACACCGATGGACTGAGGGACAGGTAAGTGGCTGTATTTTAAAAAGTCCGCAGCTCCACTTTTTGTAGCTGCTGACCTTTATTATATTTTTTTTTTCAGGTGAAACTCCGCTTTAAGGAAATTCACCCTCTCTATTTGTCCTGTTTACCATTATCATTGAAAATGAAAGAAAAAGAAAAACCCAAATTTCGGGTTGTCCCCAGAATAAAAGTAAAAGAGGAGAAATCTTCCAATGGGGGCACTAGTTCTGGTGACCTGGGGGTCCCCAAGGAATTCCCTTAATTTGCAGAGATTTCCTCTCACCTCATGTTAGGCTATAGGACACAAATATATATAGACCTGCGCTAGTGAAAACCACAATTAATAATAAATAAGGTGCATAATCTATAGAAGCTGAACACAAAAACCCTGATACTAGGCAATAAATACAAAAAAGTGCAGCGCTTAAAAAAAGTGACAAATAATCATAAAAAACAGTGAAAAATGTGTCAAATAGTCCATCCAAAACACAATGAAATAAAAGTCCCAGAAGCTGTGATGAAACAAGAAATCCAAGGACAGTTGTTCTGTCACCAACCACTACCACAGAAAGCTCACCAGAAAGACATGACTCTGTTAGAGTGTTTTATTAAACAGTCCGGAAAGCCAGCCAGGAAGGAAGGAAGGAGGCTGCGGTCTGGAAAGCAGGGAGTGGGAGCCTGACTGAGCTCACTCCACATTAGAGTCCAAGCACTGCGGTCCTCCTTGCCTCACTCCCTTCCTTCCTGGGTCACCACCACTCCGGACATTACAGTTCAAGCCTTATCTTGAGTGGTTTAGTTACCCTAATCAAGGTCCATTGTTTAGAGGATCCTTATCTGCTCTTTTTGTGGTCTGGAGGAGGATTCGAATGACCAGCTTTCTGGATTGTTTAATAAACCACTCATAACAGGGGGTCAAGTCTTTCTGATAAGCCTTCTGTGGTAGTGGTTGGTGACACAACTGTCCTTGGATTTCTTCTGTTTCATCACAGCTTCTGTGACTTTTCTTTTTATTTCATTTTATTATTGGATGAACTTTTTCTTTTTTTACACGTTTTCAATGTTTTTTATGATTATTTTTCACTTTTTTAAGCGCTGCACTTTTATGTATTTATAGGACACAAATGGTGAAAAAAATCTGATAGGAGTTACTCTACCTTAACTCTACCTTGCTCTATCCAAAATGAAAAAAAAATGCCTATAGTTCTACTTTAAATATTCTGCTCATATCTTCGCTTTTACTCAGTTTTAGTAATTTCTTAGTAAAAAAAAAAAATCAGATCAAGAAAGATACAAAGCTCGCTGATCAGAGATGGGTCTAGGTAGAATGAATGGTTTGCTGACTACGAGCTGAAGAACTTTGTCAATCTCTTTGCTTATATGGATGAGTAGTAGATAGCCACATAGAACAATGTATTTTTCCTTAAGTTTTCTATCCTGCTGTTCATTTAGGCAGTGTACTATCAGACTAGTGTGTGGAGGTCAGTAATGTTCATCAAAATATGTCTGAATTAACTCTTACATATCTTTACCCCAAACCAAAAGTTTAACATAATGTAGGTACAGTTGCAAGGAAAAGTATGTGAACCCCTTGGGATTACGTGGAGTTTTGCATGAATTGGGCATAAAATGATTGCACATAACATGTAAACATTCACCGTGCAGGGAGGAAAAAGTATGTGAGGCCCTAGCTTAATGACTTCTCCCAGAGCTAATTGGAGCCAGGAGTGAGCCAACCTTGACTCCAATCAGTGTGATGATATTGGATGTGTTGCTGACAGCTGTCCTGCCCTTAAAAAACACACACCTGTTTTGGGTTTACTGGTTTCAAGAAGCACTGTCTGATGTGAACCATGCCTCGCAGAAAAGAGCTCTCAGAAGACCTACGATCAAGAATTGTTGACTTGCATGAAGCTGGAAAGGGTTACAAAAGTATCTCCAAAAGCCTTGATGTTCATGTGTCCACGGTAAGACAGACTGTCTACAAATGGAGAAAGTTTAGCACTGTTGCTACTCTCCCTAGGCGTGGTCATCCTGTAAAAATGACTGCAAGAGCACAGTGCAGAATGCTGCATGAGGTAAAGAAGAATCCTGGAGTGTCAGCTAAAGACCTACAGAAATCTCTGGCACATGCTAACATTTTTGTTGACACATCTATAATAAGGAAAACATTAAACAAGAAAGGAGTACATGGGAGGACACCACGGAGGAAGCCATTGCTGTCCAAAAAGAATATTGCAGCACGTTTGAAGTTTGCAAAAGAGCACCTGGATGTTCCACAGCACTACTGGCAAAATATACTGTGGGAACACACCCACTGGGTCCACACAAATATAAACAGAAACCTACGGAAATCCAGGAGTAACATTCCATCAATTACACTACTCTGCCTTAATGGTGCTCTGTTGGCTAAGATGACCCTAAATTGGAAGACGCTAAGTATTTATTTTTTTCATATTTTTTTTTTGTGTTGACACCGTGCCTCTTGTTTAATCCTCCCCATGTATTGTTAAATTCATTTGCTTTCGACTCCGCGTGGATCTTCGGTAGAAACCGTCTTTTCTTCAGATAGGCTTTCTGGGCTCACACTTGCATCATTGTTTAGTATGCTATCCCCGGGTTGTATGTATCCACACTTAAATGTACATTTGGAGAGTCGGAAGTGCTTATGAAGATCACAGGATTAGTGTCGTCTTTGCTGAATTACTGTTGCTACAGATGAAACCAAGATTGAGTTGTTTGGGAAGAACACACAACACTATGTGTGGAGAAAAAAAGGCACAGCATACCAACATCAAAACATCATCCCCACTGTAAAACATGGTGGAGGGAGCATCATGGTTTGGGGCTGCTTTGCTGCCTCAGGGCCTGGACGGATTGTTGTCATTGATGGGAAAATGAATTCCAGAGTTTATCAAGACATTTTGCAGGAAAATGTACGACCATCTGTCCGCCAACTGAAGCGCTGCAGAGGATGGGTGATGCAACAGGACAATGACCCAAAGCATACAAGTAATTCAACAAAACAATGGCTGCAACAGCACAGAATACGCCTTCTGGAGTCCTGACCTCAACCCGATTGAAATGCTGTGGCATGACCTTAAGAGAGCGATTCACACCAGACATCCCAAGAATATTGCTACACTGAAACAGTTTTGTGAAGAGGAGTGATCCAAAATTACTCCAGATCGTTGTGCAGGTCTGATCTGCAACTACAGGAAACGTTTGGTTGAGGTTATTGCTGCCAAAGGAGGGTCAACCAGTTATTAAGTCCAAAGGTTCGCATACTTTTTCCTCCCTGCACTGTGAATGTTTACATGTTATGTGCAATTAAACCATGGCAACATCTAATGTTTGTGTATTATTATTTTCAGCAGACTGTGTTCTTTTATTGTTGTGACTTAGATGACGTTCAGAGCACATTTTATGCCCAATTCATGCCAAACTTTACGTAATCCCAAGGGGTTCACATACTTTTTCTTGCACCTGTATATTTATGTCAGTTTATTTTGGGTTAGAGTATTGGTTTTTGTTTCCAAAGTGCAGAAATAAGTTACATATACTGTATTTGTTCTTTTTTTTACAAATTATGTAGGCCTTGAAGAAAGCAGAAAAACAGATTCTGGAACCACTGATGAGAGTGGAGATCACGATGGGTGAGGGGTACCTGAGCAGTGTACTGGGGGATCTGGCACAGAGGAGAGGCAACGTTCAGGAGATCCAGAGTCGCTACGATAATAAAATCATACTAGCATTTGTTCCACTTGCAGAACTTTTGGTAAGGACTTTTCTATATATTAGAATATACACTACTCAAAAAAAAATTTAAGGAATGCTTTTTAATCAGAGTATAGCATCAAGTCAATGCCACTCCTGGGATATTGATCTGGTCAGGTAAGTAGCAGAGGGGGTTGTTAATCAGTTTCAGCTGCTTTGGTGTTAATGAAATTAACAACAAATGAAAATGATGGGCAACAATGAGACAACCCCTAAAACGGGAATGGTTTTACAGGTGGAGGCCACTGACATTTTTTCCCTAATCATCTTTTCTGACTGTTTTTTCACTAGTTTTACATTTGGCTAGGGTCAGTGTCACTACTGGTAGTATGAGGCGATACCTGGACCCTACAGAGGTTGCACAGTCCAACTCCTCCAGGATGACACATCAATATGTGTCATTGCCAGAAGGTTTTCTGTGTCTCAAGAACATAGAGGAGATTCCAGGAGACAGTTACTCTAGGAGAGCTGGACAAGACCATAGAAGGTCCTTAACCCATCAGTAGGACCAGTATCTGCTCTTTGTGCAAGGAGGAACAGGATGAGCACTGCCAAAGGCTGAAAAAATGACCTCCAGCAGGCCACTGGTGTGAATGTCTCTGACCAAACAATCAGAAACAGACTTCACGAGGGTGGCCTGAGGGCTCACTGCCTGGCACCATAGAGCTCGATTGACATTTGCCATAGAACACCAACATTGGCAGTTCCACCACTGGCGCCCGCAGGACACCATCCGTCATCTCATTAGGAGCATGCCCTGACATTGTCAGGCATGCATACAAGCACATGGAGGCCATACAAACTGAGTACCATTTTGAGTTGCTGCAATGAAATTTCAGCAAAATGGACTAGCCTGCTGCATCATTTTTTTACTTTGATTTTTGGGGTGTCTTTGAATTCAGTCCTCTGTAGGTTGAAAATTTTCCTTTCCATCAAACGATGGGCATCATTACATTCCTAACACATTGGTCCATATCAGTATAGATATCCAGCATGATATTTTTCCCCATTGAGATCTGATGTGTTTTCAAAGTGTTCCTTTATTTTTTGAGCAGTGTAGATTCACCCTCCTGATGCCTCAGCCAAATGCTAGGATAACATGAGGATGGATTAGAAATTGTGTTTAAAAAGCCCACTTAAGCCTTGGAGTGTGTATGTTTTTTAAAAATTTTCAACATTGGTCTACAAATGTAAAGCAGATGCTGTAGCAGTTTAAAGTGGTTGTATACCCTTAAATATACCCAGTGAAGTGACTGGCCTCAGGTGATACACAGAGATGAAACAAATCCTCCTACATAAACTGTACCTGTTTATTTTCAGCCATCTTATACCTACATCCATTTAAGGTGCAGCATTTACACAAGATCTCTTAGTTCTGAGAAGCAGGGGGCGGGGAGCTGAAGTTACATCAGTGAGAAATGCTGACTGGGGGGAAGGGACACACACCTCCTTCAACAGCACACAGGAATGGAGCTGAGGCTGTCAATCACAGGCTGTGCCCTCCCGTATCCATTTTTCTCTTGTAACAAATTTTCCTGACACCAAGTGATTTATGCTTATAGCAAAGGAATGGGGCAATGTACAGAAATGACACTTAGTACTCTGGATTGAGACGAGTACACACTGTAGAGGTAAATGCTTTCTTCATATTTCATGTCTGAGATTTACAACCACTTTCAAAGGAATGTGTTCCTAATTCAAAAAGTATCTTCTGTTGCTCTAAGCCTGTTCTAAATCGACAAGAATATTGTTTAGGGTCACTTGAAAAGCCACATTGCAGTTTTTGCCTTTCCGAAAGAGGACTGGCACTAGTTCACTGAGGATGGATGGCGAGGGTAAGTATCGTTAGGCAATTCTTAATTTTTTTTTTTTTTTTTACATTCTTGGAGGGGAGGGCACCCCATTTCTTTTATGCCCTTTAAAAGTCCATTGCTACTGTGAATGTTTATTTGTGGATTATACTTTAGGGCGTGGGCATATAGGGACATATAATCCCTCTCTTCAACATCATTTTTGTTGTATTGTGACAAGCATTTAGCAGGGCCAGACTTTGAACTACTTACAAAAGACAAACTGGATTCATACTGCCAGACTGATAATGCTGTAGGGAATGTTTTTTTTTTTTTTTTGCACACATTAGTCCCCTAATACCAGTTTGGCATTGCTTGAATACCACACCGTACTTAAATTTTGTTTGACTTTGTGCACCTTTAATAGGTACTAGCAGCCGCTGGGTGCAAATAGCAAGGCTTGTGCAGTATTTGATACTAAAATTTCACTATGCATATTTTTATAATTTTTTTTTTTTTTTATTATTTCTTTGACTCCTTCAAGGGTTATTCTACTGACCTGCGTACATTAACATCAGGGTGTGCCACATTTACTCTTGAGCTGGCAGACTATGAAGAGATGGATCTTAATGACCAGAATACTTTGCTAAAGAAAAAGGGACTTCTATAAGCTTGGCTGGGAACCAAGAAAAATGACTTGTCCTATTTTTTCCAACATGTCTTCAAAATGAATTCTGCTTCTTTACCAAAAAAAAAAAATCAAGCAGATCTTAAAATAAAATGATACATATAAATTCTCTTTTACCATGCATGTAAATAAACATTTTCACAAATTTTCTGAAACAGGGTTTTATTCCTCTTTCAATTTTTATTTAAAAAAAAAAAAAATCAAAGGCATTGTAAAACAAAAAACAATGCATCCATACATGAACATTTATTATTGTGATAACATCAAGCATTGTTGTTGGATGGTTTTGAACAGAAAGGAGCAGCAAAGAAGGGGCAAGAGAGCTGGGACATTACTAGAAGAAAAGAAAGGTAAAGGAATTTGAGAATTAAAGCTGAGAAAAGGTAGGCGGTAAAAGAAAAGGGCGAAGTAAAACATAATTATATAGAATATGCAAACATAGTAAAGGTAGATAAGGTAATTCAAGGCCTATGTGCTAAATAATAGACCTCTACAACTGAACCTCAGCCTTCTGCCAGATACTGATTTATTCATTAAACAAAGTCCATCTGAGGTTGTGTAAGCAATCAAGCTGAGGTCGTGAGGGGGGAGAGGCAGACCTTTTATTTTGGGTGGAGGTGTTTCCTCAGGTGGGGAGGAGCCGAGGTCTCTCAAGGTGCTGTCCTGAAAGACGAGGAAGGGAAAAATCCCAATATGTGTAAATTAAGTGGTTTACGTGAAAGTAATAGTGTTTACAAATGGCGGTATAGATAGTGGATTTTTTTTTTTATACTAATAATAGTGGCAGTCAGCGACTTATGGTGGGACTGAGGTGGACATTTTGACACTGGGGGGGTTACTGACACCAATACAGTGATCAGTGCAAAAAAAAAAAAAAACCAGACACTGTACTAATGGCACTGGGGAGGAAGGGATTAACACTGGGAGGCAAATAAAGGGTTAACTGTGTGAGGGGAGTGTTTTACTAGGGGGCGGGGGTGTACTTCACTGTTACACACGGCTGTGCCCAGCAATCGGGAACAGTGTGCTGAAAACTGACAGGGAGGAGAGCTCCATTGAAAACAATGCAGCCTTCCTCCCCATCAGCGTTTGCCGGCAATTGTTACGTTCTAACTGCACTTTTGGTCCCATATGGACTCAGAAGATCAGCTTGCTAAATGAAGACTCCAAAGTAAGCTCCCTCCTGATAAGCATCTTTGTATCAGCTGTATCCCTCATTAAAAAGTGCTCAACATAGTGCTTTCTTTTAAACTTTTATTCATCAATTAAACATAAGAAATACAGTCACGTTCCAGAGGTGTATTTTGCACCAGGTCTGATGAACATCCAATGATATACTGATTAAACAAAAGATGGCAGTATCCTTACAGCAGCAGAGTCCTGAACATGCTCAAAACAGACACCATACATGTTGTAATGCAAGGCAAAGCATGGCCCACTTTGTGAATGCTATTTCCTGATGTAATGTCCTTCCAAGAGCCATTTACAGAGTACTACGACCGCTGTCCCCATGAATGGTAACGTCATGACATCATCCACACACTCCTTATAACATATATATATTTTATTTTTTCACTTTGTTTTTTGTTATATAAGAATTGTGCCATTGTTTCATGTAGCGTAGCATTTCTTCACTTCACAATCAGAGTGCTTGAAGATGTCTTTATTTCCTAAGTGTCACTGAACTTCTTTGAGAGGAATCATCACTTCAGTGTCACTGAACTTTCCCAACCGCTCTACAAATGGTTTTTACAGGGCTGGTTTGCTGTCCCACCACCCAGCCATCCTTGTATCTTAGCAAGGGCTTGGGACCAGCCATGGCACAGTTAAAAATATTTAAAACTTGTATATTAAAATTTTTTCCTTACACCCCCAAAAAGGGGCAAGGAACACACAGGTCCACTTAGCCAAAAGGCATGGTGGACCACATGAAAAACAGTGGTAAGCAGTTTCCCACTTTCCAAAGGGAGCACAAAGTCCCCCTGAATTTACATGTGCTTGCACATAACCCTCACCCGCAACCATTGGACGAGCTCTAGCTCATCATTTCCGTGTCACTGAACTTTCCAAATCACTCTGTAAATGTTTTTTACAGGGCTGGTTTGCTATCCCAGCACCCAACCCTCCTCTTTTTGCAGCACGGACTTGGAACCAGCCATGGTAGAGTTAAAAATATTGGAAATTGTTCCTTATACCCCCAAACTGGGGCAAGGAACGCACAGGTCTACTTAGCCACAAGGCCTGGTGGACCACATAAGCAGTCTTACACTTTCGGAGCGGATCATAGTATTCCCCCCGAACTTTATGTGCGCTTGCACATAACCTTCACGTGCAAACTTTGGATCAGCTCTAGCCCGCCCTGAACAAATTCCAAGTGTTATGGAATAGGGTCTGTGCCATTTCTCTCAGAACCAACAATGCTTACAGAGGTCTTCACTGCCTCAGTGTCACTGAAATTCTTTGAGATGGATCATCACTTCAATGTCACTGAACTTTCCCAATAACTCTGTAAATGGATTTATAGGGAGGGTTTGCTGTCCCATCACCCAAACCTCTTTTCGCAGCAGGGGCTTGAGACCAGCCATGGCAGAATCAAAAATATTGAAATCCTGATTATAAATTGTTCCCTATACACCCCAAACGGGCAAGAAACACACAGGTCCACTTAGCCACAAGGCCTGGTGGACCACATGATGAGCAGTGGTAAGCAGTCTTCCACTTTCCGAGGGGAGCACAGAGTCCCCCTGAATGTATGTGCACTTGCACTTAACTCTCATACACAACCTTTGGACCCCAGCTCTAGACCATCATGAGCAACTTCCAAATGCTATGGAATGGCTGGTCTTTATTGCCTTGGTGTCATCGAACTTGTTTGAGACAGATCATTTCAGTGTCACTGAACTTTTCAAATTCTGTAAATGTTTTTACAGGGCTGGTATGCTATCCAAGCACCCAACCCTCCTCTTTTTGCAGCACTGACATGGGACCAGCCATGGTAGAGTTAAAAATATTGGAAATTGTTCCTTATACTCCCAAACTGGGGCAAGGAATGCACAGGTCTATTAAGCCAGAAGGCCTGGTGGACCACATTATGAGCAGCGGTAAGCAGTCTTCCACTTTCCAAGGGGAGCACAGAGTCCCCCTGAATTTATGTGCACTTGCACTTAACTCTCATGCACAACCTTTGGACCAGCTCTAGACCAAAATGAGAAACTTCCAAATGCTATGGAATGGGATCTGGGCCATTGCACTAAGAACCAACTGCGATTAGAGTGGGTTTTATTGTCATGGTGGTCACCAAACTTGTTTGAGACAGATCACCATTTCAGCATCACTGAACTTTCCAAATCACTCTGTAAATGTTTTTACAGGGCTGGTTTACTATCCCAGCACCCAACCCTCCTCTTTTGGCAGCACAGACTTGGTAACAGCCATTGTAGAATTAAAAATATTTGGCAACGCTTACAGAGGTCTTCACTGCCTCAGTGTCACCAAACTTGTTTGAGACAGATCATCTTTTCGGTGTCACTGAACTTTCCAAATCACTCTGTAAATGTGTTTTACAGGGCTGGTTTGCTAACCCAGCACCCAACCCTTATCTTTTTGCAGCATGGATTTGGGACCCTCCATGGCAGCGTCAAAAATATTGAAAATTGTTCTTTCTACCCACAAATTGGAATGGGGCCTGGACCACTGCTTTCAAAGCCAAGCGCACTTAGAGAGGCCCAAGTGTCAAAGTTTTGAGAAGAATCATCAATTCAGTGTCACGGAGCTTTCCCAACCGCTCTGCAAATGGATTTACAGGGCTGGTTTGCTGTCCCAGCGCCCAACCCTTCTCTTTTCACAGCACAAGCTTGCGTCCAGCCATGGCAGAGTTAAAATATTGAAAACTTGATTAAAAATTGTTCTTTATACCCCCAAACTGGGGTAACACACACACAGGTCCACTTAGCCACAAGGCTTGGAGGACCACATGATCAGCAGTGGCAAGCAGTCTTCCAGTTTTGAAGGAGAGCACAGAGTCCCCCTGCCCTTTACATGTGCTTGCACATAACCCTTACATGCAACCTTTTGACTAGCTCTAGACCACAAAGAGGAGGGTTAGGTGCTGGGTTGGGTAGCCCTGTAAAAACCATTTAAAGTGCAGTTGGTAAAAAAAAAAAAGCAGTGACACTTGATGATCCATCTTGGAGAAGTTTAGTGACACTGAGGCAATAAAGATGTCTCTGCGCTCAGAACAAACCGCGCTTAATGGACCCTATTCCAACACACTTGGAAGTTGCTCATTTTGCAGCATGGGCTTGGAACCGGCCATGGCAGAGTTAAAAACAAACATTTTTCCCTATACTAGGTTAAATGTACGCCTCTTCCCCAAATATCCTAGCAACCATCTCTGCCCTTCCCTTACTGGTTGGACTGTGAAACTATGCCTTTCTTTAGGCTGGCCATTAATGCTATCATCCCTCCACAATCTCAGCCAATCAGATAATGAGCTCACGGATCCACCTCTGTAAAGGTTGCCAAATCTGGCTATGCCTGTCTTATCAGTAACATCTGTGCATGTTTCCTTGTCAGCCATGCCCCCAAAGACCTGCTTTTAATGAGAGCTTGTGCACAGCCTCAATCCTGTCCCTTTAATCCCATGTGCTTATATCAGGTGCAAATGAGCAACCCCGCCTCTCCACAGATCTCCATCCCCTCAGTCCCATGACCTATTCTGAGCTGCAGAAGATTTGATACTGTGTCATATAATTTCAACATGCTGATTCACAAGCCTGGCCCCACCCCCCTCAGCACATGGCCCAACCTTCCACCACTGCCAGCCCCACCCCCTCACTGTCTTCCCCTTGTTATCAAGTGCAAACATCTAGCCCCACCCCCTCATTTCTAGCACTCACAACTTTATAACGCTATACCCGTCACACAAAGCAATCAATATACACATTAGGATTTTTTTTTTTTTTAACCAAAGACATGTAGCAGAATACATTTTGGCCTAAATTTATGAATAACTGAGTTTACTATATTTTTTTTATAGCTGAAAGAAATATTTCTACAAATTTTTTTTTGTTTTTGCTTATAGCACAAAAAAAAAAAAAAAAAAAAAAAGCCATTATGAAAAAAAGGACGTAAATTTTGTTTGGGTACAGCATTGCATGACCGCGCAATTATCAGTTGAATTAGTGAAGCGCAAAGTAGCAAAAAAAAGGCCTGGTCAGGAAGGGGGGGGTAAATCCTCAGGAGGGCAAGTGATTAATAACACCTAGGTTGAGGGTAGATAGGCAGGCGGTATTTACCACTTAATAGCAGGAGGTAAAACCTGGCGCTGGATCAAAAATACATAAATAATTGCATTAATTTAAATGCAAAAAAAAAAAAAAAAAAAAAAAAAACACAAAATGCAAACCCATTTTTTTTTTACATATAAAAGATAATTATGCTGAGTAAATTGATACCAAACATGTCAGACTTTGCACACCCATGCAATGGTGCCACAGTTTTAAACAGCGTACGTTTTACTATACATAGACAACGCTTTAAAAGGTTTTTACAGGTAACCACTTTAGATTTACAGAGGAGGTCCAGAGCTAGAATTACTGCCCATGATCCAACGATACCTCACGTGTTGCCCCAGTATTGTTTGCGGGACTGACATTACGACTCACTTATTGATAACCTCTGCACCCCAACCCCCCCCCACCTTAACTCTACATGCTCTGCTAATCTATGCACCCATCTTCCTTACTTCTGTACATCCCCTCCTTGCTCACCTGTGCACTCCAAACTAATTCCTTCTCAGCCTACCTGCCTACCTCTGCACACCCCACCCACACCACTTTGCAGAACAGGCTGATGGTAGGCTCAGTGACCACAGTTGCAGGCAGGACATTCAAGCATGTCCCTGTTTACCTCCCCAGTGGGCAGCATTCAGCAGAGGTGATTGTGGGGGCATGATATACAAATGAATGCCATCACTATTTATATACCAACATTGCTGCTATTTACATGCTACTGTATCCCATATTTACATATCAATGCCAATTATTTGCATGTGAATCCTGACACGAGTCATCTGTACACTGCAATAGAGCAGAGCTAGGCCGTATAAGTGACAGCACTTCTCACTGAGATATTGGGACACAGGACAGGAGGAAGACTTCAAAAGAAAAAAAAAAAAAAAAAAAAAAAAGTATGCAAACAGGGAAATTGGCAAATATGGGGCAGCTGCTTTGGGCCCCACAAAAATGTCTGGGCCTAGTGCAGGTACCCCTTTTTCCCTGCCTTAAAGATGGCCCTGCATACATATTATTGAAGGCCAGCTCCTAGAAGCTGAAAAAAAAACACTAATCTAAAAGTAGTGTACACTATTTATCTTCTAGGAGCAGAAAGAAAAGGAAAAAAAAAAAAAAAAAAAAAAAAAAACACCACACACTGATGCATGTCCATTTTTGGCTGCATTGTGGTGTGTTGGAAGTCCAAGATTATTAGACTACCTCAACACAACACTCACCAACGCATGTTTGCTATTGCACCACAATACTAAAGTGTTAATGGGTCCTTAGACATAAAAGCAGTAGGATATACAGTTGAGCTACATATGAAAAGAAAACCCTGTCTTTCCCACAAACGCTGAAGAGAAGCTTAAAAGCTGAACTCCATTCCCCACTTCTCCCCCTCCCCAGACACCTGGTTCTGAAAGGCACTCCCCCCCCCACACCTCTGCAGCCTTCTGGGACAATTTGCTCATGTGCAGTAGGAAACTGGCTGTGAATCTGAAAGGCTTCACTTCCAGTTCCCATTACTGAAGATGCCAGTGCCAGCACCCTAAGCAGATTAACGAGTTGGCTCGGGTGAGGAAATCACTGGACCTCTGGACAGGTAAGTAACTTGCCCTTATATTAGAAGTCAGCAGCTACAGTATTTTTAGCTGCAGATTCATTTTTTTTTGGCAGGAGTGTGGAGCTCTGCTTTAACCTTATACATAACATTAAAATTACAAGAAGTGATATAGACAATTAAACACTGGTAAAACCAAGAAGATTTCTTAACTTCCACCTCAAATGTAATATTTAGCTTCCCTTTAGTCTGTCTGGTGATTAGATGTTTGAGTTACAAACAACCCCCCCCCCCCCCCAAAAAAAAAAAAAAAAAAAAAAAAACACTACAACACACTGGTACTGTAAAGATTTTATTACAATAAATTGTAATTAGAACATACACCTTAGGAAAAAAAAAGTCAATCACAGTTTTCAATCTTTACAGGATAAGAATCACTTTGACCTGTATAGTGCAATTTGGTCCAGCAGCCTTGATTTTTCAGCCATAAACACTCTGATAAACATGTCTAGTACTTCATTTCATGTTCACAGAATCCAACATAGAGCGGCTCTGCTCCTATTCCACGCCTGGAAAGAAAAAAAAAAAAAAAATATATATATAGCAATATGAACCTAGAGAGGCTGGAAATGTTCATCAGTATGTTCATTTATTAGATATAAAATATAAAGGAGTCTTCCATTATGCAATATTTCTCATTTCAGCTGCCGGAAAATCTAGTCCTGGAAAAAAAACAGTAATGTACAGTATGTAGCAACCAAGCAGGAGAGACATGCATGGGCCCATGACTTGAACACAAAACCTGCTGTAGATTCCCATCTGCAACGCAAATCTTAAAAAGAGAACCAACAGGAATATGTAATGTAAAGCTGCACTGTTATAACAGTTCAGGAGTGCAGATTCAGTTCTCAGGAATTACAGATCAAGCATTTTGTTTATAGCGTAAAAAAATAAATAGAGAATTATTTCTATGGTATTTGATTGCCTCTGTATTTATTTGTGGAAAAAAAAAAAAAAAAAAAAAAAAAAAAAGGACAAATTTAATTTGGATGCAGAGTTGCATGACCACACAATTGTCAGTTAAAGTAACGCAGTGCATCATCACAAAAAAAATGGCCTGGTCAGGAAGGAGGGTAAATCCTTCTGGCGGGCAAGTGGTTAATGCACTGCAATGTATCACTTTAGTGGGCCCTGAAAAATTACATTGCTGCATGGTACATGAAGCAGCAGCCCTGGGACTCAAACACATACTGTTGCTTCCTAGTCGGCCGTATTTTAATACTGTACTATTCTTTGTCAAGCTCTTTATTAGTGTTAAAACCTTAAATCAATTAGGTGTATAAATCAGATCAAGATAAAATAAAGGGGCACCATTCCTCCCACTGACATCAATGATGGGGCACCATTCCTCCCACTGATACAATTTTCTCACACTGTCCGGCCCCAAAAAACAGGGGTGCTCAACCCATGACCTGCGACCTCAAACCAGGGAAGCACATGGCCATGACCTGGGATGAGGGGGTCGGCAAACCTAGATCATAATCAACAGATTGCTGATCCGCCATCCCAGAGCATCAGAGTGCATGAAGCCAGCGCCGACAATGGAGAAAGCAGCTAGCTGCATAAGCCAATGCTTCCTCTCTAGCGCCGCCTCCTATCCCATGGGGAGTGATACATACTGTGGGGTATATCCTGCGGTGTTGGTGCGCTTTCTGAAAGCGCATCAAAACTCCTGATTACAGGCGTTTTGGTGCGCTTTTAAAAAGTACATCACACCCCCAAAATGTAATGGAAGTCTATGCAGCCAACGCATTGAAAATCTGCAAATGCAGTAAAACACGGTGCATCACTGTGAAAGCAGCCTTATAGGGAACTCAAGACAGCAAGAGCTCATTTATATTTGCAATTGGGGGGGGGGGGGGGGCTGCGACCAGTTACCAATTCATATAACTGGCTCTTGCTCTTCAACAGGTTTAGCACCCCAGCCCTAAAGTCTGTGGGTTAAATAAAGTTTGGAGACCCCCCCCCCCCCCCCCCCCCCGACTTAAAGCATTAAAATAAAGATGGCATACTTCTATGTATTGTTTTTTACTTTTCTTTTCTGGTTTATGCAGCGTTTCGGGACGCCATGGTCCGATCGCCACTGGGAGTGGAAATTGTTGGCTGACTTTTTTTTTTTTTTTTTTTTTTTTTTTTTTTTAAGCGTGCTGATGCTGCCATGGCCTCACCCCTTTTGAAAGTACATTCACAAAATGTTCAAGGCGTCAATTCGCCTCAGAAGCGGGCTAAAGTTTTTCATCACCTCAAATTGCAACAAAATTGACATGGTATGTTTACAGGAGACCAGGTTTTCTCAGTCCTCCACCCCACGATATCTTTCACCTCATTATCCCACTTATTACATGGCCTCGGCTCCTCAGAAATGCCGAGGTGTACTGACAGCTTTCAAACGCAATCTCCCCTTTGTCTGTGCTCGGAACATAGTGGACCCCACGGGCAGGTATTTGCTCCTGCAGGGCACCCTCTGGGACGAGGAGGTTACTTTTGTCTTACCACACGCCCAATCGCTTTCAGCATACATTTTTCTCATCTTTGCACCATCATTTCCTGACACTCCAAGGGTCTTCTTTTTTTGGGAGATTCAAATGTTACCTTGGATTCCACATTGGATAGGTGCTATGCCCAGCGACTTAGTGCTAGAGGAACGTATACGCTCTCTTTTGCAGACAGCGGGGCCTTCACCCAACTGAGCGCGACTTTACATTCTATTCCAATCTTCATGACAGTTTTTGTAGAATTGACCATATATTCATGCATGTCCAGCAGCTTCCCTTGGTCAGGCGGATATCTATTCCCTCCTCGCCCTGGTCAGACCATGATCCCCGGTACTCCTCCTTGCCCTCTTGGTCGGTACAGCGACCATTTCACAGGCACATTAATAATTCTCTATTGACCACTCAGGTTACTTGCCAACAAATAGAATCTTACGCACATACTTTACAGAAAAGTCGGGATCTGTCTCTTCGGCAGTGCCCCTGTGGGAGGCGCATAAAGCCACAGTGTGAGGTCATGTTAAACAGCTGGCGGCGGTTTGGAAGCGGGGGCGCCAACTTTTGGAATTTCATTGTCTACTGGCCTCTGCAGATGCTTGTTGGAAGTCATTTCCATCCACGGGCCATAAAACGTGCAAGGAACGCTTTGGCTGCAGAGTTGGACCTACTTGCTTCTTCTTCGAAGGCGGAACGGGCCCTGCATTGGACCAAACAAATTTTATTCCTGTGCTAATAAGCTGGGTCCGATGCTGGCCAGGAAACTCAATTCTGTGGGGAAACCCCATAAACCGATCCGATTGCAACTTCCCGCAGGTGGCTGTACTTCTAATCCCCAGCAGATTGTTTCCCGTTTCGCAGACTTCCTTTCCAAGTCAGGAAACACGCCATCCCCCACACCTTTAAAGGTGGACCTCCAGGCCTCCATCCCCAGTTTTTAGTGTTTCCTGATCCAGAAGGAACACGTTTGGAACCTATGGGGTCTCTGCACTCTCAGAGGGGCAGTCCTGGAAGAGTGTGGGCCCAGGGATTCACGTACCTCCTTCCGGGCGCTATCCCTCTGCGGTGAGTGGGGCTGGCAGTGTGTGGGAGCAGTCATCCCCAGGCGGGGGGACCGACTGGTGGCAGGGTCACTTGCAGGGGAGCGGGGGAGTCCAGTGGCAAGTTTGGACATCCGCTCCCTTTGGGCCTGGTAAATTCTCTTTCCCCCAGGAGCCAGTACAGGTGTGCTGAGCGCTGGGTGGAAGGGGAACAGGCGGGACTTCCAGTAGGGGCAGGCCTTGCGTCCGTTGGCCGGAAGTCTGACGCAACTTCTGGTTGACGAGGCCCTGCATACCAGCAGGGCCCTGCGCTCCACGGACCAGGAGTTAGGTCACTTCCGCTGAAGAGGCTGCGCTCCACAGACCGGAAGTCCGGCGCAGTGACATCGGCGGGCGCCAGAGACGCTGGTTCCAGTCTCCTGAAGAGGCCCAGGCTTCCACTCGGGCGGGTGGTGAGGCGTGGAGCCAGCAGAGGCTGTGTGATCCACACCGGTTGGAACACCATGGATACGGGCCCTTCGCTGCAGACAGATCCTGGTTCCGGCACCGGCTCCTCTCAGGTAGGCTTGGGGAGGGCCCCCTTTAGCTGACTCCTGGGAGGGTGGTTGGTCTCCCCAGTTGGGGACAGGTGATGGGTGGGGCACACTTTACTTTCCCCTAAAAACACACAGTGTGTAGTGGTGTTTTTTGCAGCTGAGGGTCCGTATTGTTCTTTGTCCTTTTTCTTTAGGTTAAGACCCAGAACAGGACCCCAGTTCAGGCCCCAAAGAAAAAAAAAAAGTGTGTAGTGTGCGTGGCTAAGTTGGGGTCTGCATGTGACAAACCCCTGTGCTGTGGTTGTATTGATAGCCTAGTGAAGGATGAGTCCTTCACGACCTGCCACAAGGTGTTATCCTCAATCAAGGATGACATGACGACCACATTTCAGTCTTTTCGGTCACTGTTTGATAGGATGCAGGCTCCGCTAGGGCCTGGGGTGCAGTCGGCCACAGCTGTAGGGGCAGTCAGACCTGGAAGAGGAGGACCCTTGGTCCCTTCCCTCCTCTCAGGCCAATTTGGGTTCAGAGGCCGATTACGAGGAGGGTACCGCTTTTAGAGGCTCCAGATATAAGTTGGCCATAGACGAAGTGGACGATCTCTTACAGGCTATGAGACCTTGGAAATTGAGGAGGAAGTGTCTTTGTCCAAGCATGACCTCATGTACCAGGGGCTCCATGCTAAGAAGAGCAGAGTTTTCCCAGTTCATGTTTCTTTGATTGACACCAAACAGGAATGGGAAAATCCGGAAAAGAAAAAAAGTCTTCTTTTCAGGGGCTCTGAAGAGAAGATTTCCGTTTGATGAAGATGCTTCTCAGCCTTGGAAAAAGGTTCCAAGATTGGATGCTCCTTTATCCAGGATTTCTAAGAAAATGGATCTATCCTTCAAGGACATGGGGGCTTTAAAGGACCCCATGGACAAGAGAGGTGAGGTCCTGCTACGTAGGGCATGGGAGTCCTCTTCAGTTAGCTTTAAAGCAGCCCCTTTCTGCTACCTGTGTCGCCAGAAATTTAGAATGCTGGCTTACCCATTTACAGAACCATCTAGCGGCAGGAACTTCAAGACAGCAGATTTTGAAGTCTATGCCTTTACTTTTTTCAAAGCAGCTGGGTTTTTGGCAGACACCTCGGCGGAGTCTGTTAAGCTGGTGGCAAGATCTTCGGCCCTTGTTAATTCAGCCAGACGGGCCTTATGGTTAAAAACCTGGGCAGGGGATTCTGCATCTAAACTATGCCTTTGCGCCTTGCCTTTCTCAGGGGATAATCTTTTTGGCCCCGAGTTGGAGGAGGCCCTCGAACGTACTGCCAACAAAAAAAGCCTTCCCAGAAAGTAAAAAGAAAGTATTTACTAGGAAGAGTTTTCGTCCAAAATCCCAGATGCCGCAGGGTAGAGAGGGTCAGCCCAATAAACATTGGACAGGGCATAAGAACGGGAAAAGGGGG